AGTCCAGAAGCGTTACTCACCAACGTGCTGTGACTGAGCTCTGCTAGCCAGACTGGGTCAGTAGTGCTAGCCCAGCAAACATGTTCACATTGGCATTATGTGGGTCCAATGCGGGCTAAAATATTAGCTGTCCACATTAGGCCAATGCGCTTTTGCTCATCAGCTCCACATTGGCCCTCAAGGCATTTTCCCAGTTTGGCCCAGTGTGGACAACCCATATCTGGCGAGGGCAGTCCTCACTGGACAGTTCTCCCACTGGACACAGACGTCAATGGGGTGTATTCATGGATGCCAAGGGAAGCCAGGCTTCCCCCCCCCAAAAAAACTTAAATAATTTATCTTTCGTCTCTCTGTGTTTCATAATTTTCCTTCAATTCACAAGAGGCTGAATGTATCTCACCGGAGAAAGCACCCGAGCGGGTGAAACAGCGCCCCTCTGTCTCTGTATGTGTAGGCCATTTATCTGATGCTGGCTAGTCAAAAAGAGTATGACATTGTTGCCGCCCATAGCGTTGAATGCAAGGGAAGCAAGCAAGCGTTTGGCCTCCCTTGATAAAAAAAACGTATAAAATAATAGCCAATCAGCGTTGAGCCAAACTGAGTGAGCTCAGCTGTGAATGGTCCTGGCGCACCAAAAGAAAGAGTCAAGGGAAGCCAGTTTGGATTTGGCTTCAGACCAATCACATCGAGACCAAAATGTCACATGACAGAAAACACTAGAATTGTTGCATCTCCTTGTGTTGTTGTCCTCCGGTGGCTAGCTGGCTTGAGAGCATCCTGTCGGGCTGTATCACCACCTGGTATCACCACCTGGTATCACCACCTGGTATGCAACTGCACCGCCCGCAAGAAATGGAACACTAGTCACTTTAATAATGTTTACATATCTTGCACTACTCATCTCATATGTATATACTGCATTCTATTCTATAATATTCTACTGTATCTTAGTCCATGCCGCTCTGTCATTGCTTGTCCATATATGTATATATTCTTAAATCTCATTCCTTACTAGTTTTGTGTGTATTGGGTATATGTTGTGAAATTGTTAGATATTACTTGTTAGATATTACTGCACTGTCGGAGCTAGAAGCACAAGCATTTCGCTACACCCGCTATAACATCTGCTAAACACGTGAATGTGACAAATCAAATTTGATTTGATTTGGCTAGCTAAAATTGTCCCTTTCCTAAATTAACCATGGAAGGAGATAGGGATTAGGACTTGTGGTTTTTACTTAATTATCCATACTGGACAATGATTATAACAGCGATTCTGATCCATCCATAAAGTCATACTTTGTGCCCCTGGACTGAGAGGATTGACGTTCAATATGTAGCTAGATGTAGTAGGCTAACGTTAACTATCTGGGTCATCGTTGCCCATGAAAGGAAGTTAGGCTAACGAGCAAGCATTTTAGCCAGGTAGCCTATGACAACAAAACTAAAGTGTACTGTATGACAGAGTGATAGACCGTTTCGTCAACATGAAAGAGAGGAGGACGGCATTGGCGTTTCTCTACAAGTAGGGTGAGTCAACATGTTTTTTCTACTTGCATGCACGCACACACACACACACACACACAGACACACACACCTACACACAGAGAGAGAAATCAGAACCATGGACAGCCAAATCATATTTAGCTTACGTTGACTGGACTAAATAGTTTTTGGTATCTTTTAGTTGTCACTGTATTAGACTAAGCAGAGGTGATTAGATGTTGAAGTTGAAATGGTGCTGGAATAGTGGAGGCAGCTCCAGTTTTCTTTGCGACTTGCGGTAACTCTCCGTGGTTCTAAATTAATAGTTATTTAGTGGTCCGAAAATGTCGGAAACGTTAACTTGCTTGACCATGCTGTGAATCATGGAGAGAGCTCCGAGGGGTCATGTAAATGTTTGTTACATGCAATATGCTTTGAGGTTGCTATCCGGTTTTGTGATAAAACAAAGGTGTGGTTGGATTTATTCTGCCACTGTGTCTTCTTATTGTCTCAGCCTTTAGGTCTATACATCACGGTCATAAGGCATATGAATTAACAGGTTATAGAGCAAACAACGCAATTATCACAACACATAGGTTGTAATATGGCTTTTTATTTCTGTCTTGGCTTCCCAAGTGATTTTACCCACGCACCGTTACTGTACCTCATGTCTATGATTCACAAAGCCTGTGTGGCTAATTTAGCAGAACACCTCTGGGCAGGTCTGACCCTGTCACAGGACATTTTAAACTTGTAGTGTATTTGAGGTTTAAAAGGCTTCTGAAGTTTGTAATTTCCCCTTTGAAATTTCAGACTTGATTTTTTTCCCGTACGAAAAAGGTATCAACCCCTACAAAATGTCCACTAATCAAATCAACGTTTATTGGTCACGTACACATATATTTTGCAGGTGTTATAGCAGGTGCAGCGAAATGCTCATGTTGCTAGCTCCAACAGTGCAGTAGAATGTCTCGCAAATACAATACAAATACACAAATAAGAAAACAGAAAACAAAACAAGAAATCAAGAAATAACAATCAGAATATATTACAGTGAACAGTGTGAGAATCGAGAATATAAATGTATGGTGTGTATAGACAGTATATCATTTGGAAAATAAAAGTGTATTTACAGTAGTAGGTATATTAGGATGAGCTATGTGGAGAATACAGTTGATACATACACAGTGAGTAAACAACAGTGTATAAACAATATATCGTGATCAGCGTTCAATGATTCTATATACATCGGGCATTAGTGTCAAATCATTACAATCCACATAATAAATCACATTTCCTGTTGCATCAGAATTATTTTTCCAACTGTAGCAAACTGGTTCAAATTTAAGATCTTACGCCTGTACATATCTGGATCATATCTGGATCATATCTGGATCATATCTGATTCATATAACCTGTATGGCGGATGTAGTAGAGGTCACACATGTATACCAGTGGAGAGTAGGCTAACAACTCTGGACAGGTCTGGGCCCTGCCTGTCACAGTGTCACATTGCCTCAGTCAGTCCCTTCGGAAAGTATTCAGACCCCTTTACTTTTTCCACATTTTGTTAGGTTACAGCCTTGTTCTAAAATGGATTAACTTGTTTCCCCCCCCCCCCCCCCCCCCTCATCAATCTACACACAATACCCCATAATGACAAAGCAGAAACAGGATTTTAGAAATTTTTGTTAATGTAAATAAAAAATATAATACTGAAATATCACATTTACATAAGTATTCAGACCTTTTACTCAGTACTTTGTTGAAGCACCTTTGGCAGCGATTACAGCCTAGAGTCTTCTTGGGTATGATGCTTTAAGCTTGGCACACCTGTATTTGGGGAGTTTCTCCCATTCCTCTCTGCACAGCTATTTTCAGGTCTCTTCAGAGATGTTCGATTGGGTTCAAGGCTCTGGCTGGGCCACTCAAGGACAATCAGAGACTTGTCCCAAAGCCACTCCTGCGTTGTCTTGGCTGTGTAGAAGGTTGAACCTTCGCTCCAGTCTGAGGTCCTGAGCACTCATCAAGGATCTCTCTGTACTTTGCTCCGTTCATCTTTCCCTCGATCCTGACTAGTCTCCCAGTCCCTGCTGCTGAAAAACATCCCCACAGCATGATGCTGCCACCACCATACTTCACCGTAGGGAAGGTGCCGGGTTTCCTCCAGCTGTGACGCCTGGCATTCAGGCCAAATAATTCAATCTTGGTTTCATCAGACCAGAGATCTTGTTTCTCATGGTCTGAGAGTCTTTAGGTGCCTTTTGGTAAACTCCAAGCGGGCTGTCATGTGCCTTTTACTGAGGAGTGACTTCCGTCTGGCCACTGTACCATGAAGGCCTGATTGGTGGTGCAGCAGAGATGGTTGTCCTTCTGGAAGGTTTTCCCATCTCCACAGAGGAACTCTAGAGCTCTGTCAGAGTGACCATCAGTTTCTTGGTCACCTCCCTGACCAAGGCCCTTCTCCCCCGATTGCTCAGTTTGGCCGGGCGGACAGCTCTAGGAAGAGTCTTGGTGGTTCCAAACTTCTTCCATTTAAGAATGATAAAGGCCACTGTGTTCTTGGGGACCTTCAATGCTGCAGACATTTTTTGGTACCCTTCCTCAGATCTGTGCCTCGACACAATCCTGTCTCGGAGCTCTATGGACAATTCCTTTGACCTCATGGCTTGGTTTTTGCTCTGACATGCACTGTCAACTGTGGGACCTTATATCGACATATGCCTTATATGCCTTTCCAAGACATGTCCAATCAATTGAATTTACCACAGGTGGACTCCAATCAAGTTGTATAAACATGTCAAGGATGATCAATGGAAACAGGATGTACCTGAGCTCAATTTCGAGTTTCATAGCAAAGGGTCTGAATACTTATGTAAATAAGGTATTTCTGTTTTTTATTTTTAATTACATTTCCAAAATTGTCAAAAAAACTGTTTTTTCTTTCTCATTATGGGGTATTTGTGTAGATTACTGATGAATTTATTTTCTTTCATCCATTTTAGAATGAGACTGTAACGGACAACAACATGTGGAAAAAGTCAAGGGGTCTGAATACTTTCCGAAGGTACTGTATATCTGGGTCGTGATTCATCTACGTCATCTCCCTCAGTTACCCCTAGCCTTATAAGAGGTTGGAATGGAAGACTACGGCCTTTGGTCCATTCCCTGTATGCCCCTTTGATACCTGGGGTTAAAAAGGAGTTGTTGTTAGGTCATTATTTTTAGGTAAATTAGTGATTTGTCATATAACAGTTTGTCACCACACATTCCCCATCTTTTGGTCCTTAATGTTTATATCCCTTACCAGGAGTGTGATATCATTTGTGATTGACATTTTCCCCGAACCCAAACTCTCCCGACCATAGTCACGTGTCTGTCTGTTTGGCTGGTTCAGGGCTGGGTCATGGCTGGGTCAGACAGCCAGACAGTCAGAAGACGGGTCCAGTCTAGGGGTTAAATAGCCTGTGTAGAATGTTCTGTCTGTGTAGGAGGAGCCAGACACAGAGGGGATTATGGGTATTGACATAGCAGAGCGGCGACGTCTGCGGACAGACACACGGATCGAGGGAGAGAGAGAGAAAGAGAGAGGAACAGGTACAGAGAGAGAAAGTGAGAAACTAGGTGCTCTGTAGGAGAGGTTGTGATTTGTCACAACACTCCACAAGGGAAAGTAGATCTATCCGGAACAGCAGAGAGGCTATTTTTTCAGTTTGTGACAGTTTATGAAAGTAACAGCGACGTTTTTGATGAATCCGTGTACCTGTTGCCTTCTACCTATTCGTGAAGTGGATTTCTCTAGTCCCCCAACACCAACACTGACTGAGCACAACTACTAGGACAATTACAATATTCTTTGAGCGCTTGGAAAACTTTCCAAGGACACTGTCTGCCCACCCGGGGCAGCCCACCCAGACCATCAGCCATGTTTCAGAACCAGAGGAAAAGCGTCAAAGCTGTGAGGAGCAACAAGACAGCCGCTAAAGGGAAGGTGCTTTGTGAGTATAGGAGGCTTTTGTTTATTTATTCTTATTGCAATCAATCAAATGTATTTTATAAAGCCCTTTTTACATCAGCAGATGTCACAAAATGCTATACAGAAACCCAACCTAAAACCCCAAACAGCAACCAATGCAGAAGTAGAAGCACGGTGGCTAGGAACAACTCCCTAGAAAGGCAGGAACCTAGGAAGAAACCTAGAGGGGAAACAGGCTCTGAGGGGTGGCCAGTCCTCTTCTGGCTGTGCCGGGTGGAGATTATAAGAGTACATGGCCAGATTACGGCCAGATTGTTCTTCAAGATGTTCAAACGTTCATAGATGACCAGCAGGGTCAAATAATAATCACAGTGGTTGTAGAGGGTGCAACCGGTCAGTATTGTAATGTAATGTCATATTTTGCCTCATATTTCTATGCTTATTCTTCTGATTATCACAGTTTGCTAATAGACTATCACTATCCAAGTGGCTAACCCATATCAGAAGGCTTTACAAACTCTAGCAGTTTCATACCACCGCGGCAAGCCATTGGTGTCAGAGGTTCGGAGGTGTTTCAGTTCTTCTTCAGAGTTGTTTTGTCAAACTTCTGAGTCTACGTAGCTTATGTTCCCTGCCTCCTCCCTGTGTTTCTCTGCTGCAGGGAACAAAGCTCAGCAGACGATAGCTCAGCGATGTGGAGACCCGAAAGAGGGAGGGAAGGAGGGAGGAAAGGAGGAGAGAGGGAAGGAGGAGAACATCAAGGAGAACAAGGAGAACCAGCTGATGTCTGGTGGTGATGTGGTGGAGGACGTTGAAGAGGTGAAGAGGCAGAGTGTGTTTGATAAAGCCGTCTATGACCTGGCCCACACGGAGAAGGTGATGAACGACCTGACGTTCGGACGGAGGGTGGCCTTCTACGAGTTGAGAGGGGAGATCGGCTGTGGAAACTTCTCCCAGGTGAAACTGGGCATTCACGACCTAACTAAAGGTGAGACACAGCCCTGGATCGTGGAACCACCTATCAGTGGTGGAAAAAGTACCCAATTGTCATACTTGGGTAAAAGTAAACATACCTTAATAGAAAATGACTCAAGTAAAAGTGAAAGTCACCCAGTAAAATACTACTTGAGTAAAAGTCTAAAAGTAGTTGGTTTTAAATATACTTAAGTATCAAAAGTAAATGTAATTGCTAAAATATACTTAAGTATCAGAAGTAAAAGTATAAATAATTTCTAATTCCTTATATAAAGCAAACCAGACGGCATCATTTTCTTGTTTTTTAAATTTACGGATAGCCAGGGGCACACTCCAACACTCAGGCATAATTTACAAATGAAGCATGTGTGTGTAGTGAGTCTGCCAGATCAGAGGCAGTAGGGATGACCAGGGATGTTCTCTTCATAAGTATGTGAATTAGACCATTTTCCTGCTAAGCATTCATAATGTAACGAGTACTTTTGGGTGTCAGGGAAAATGTATGCAGTAAAAAGTAAATTATTTTATTTTGGAATGTAGTGAAGTAAAAGTAAAAGTTGTAAATAGTAAAGTAAAGTACATATACCCTAAAAACCTACTTAAGTAGTACTTTAAAGTATTTTTACATAAGTACTTTACAACACTGCCACTTATACAGGGCTCACTTGTAAAGGATATGTAATTCTCAATGTGACTTCTCTGGTTAAATAAAGGATAAATAAAACAATTATACATATTGTAAATGGCACAAAAAAAGCACACAAGTTCCTCTTGTAGTTTCCTTGGAAAAATTACCCGTCTATATAATGTCAAGTGATGACATGTTTCATATTAACATGACTATGATAAGGTTTGAATTCATGGATCCCCAGCGTATGCACTTCCCTGCGGAGACATGTTAACATGGCTTGATTACTTCACTAGCACGTTTTGCCTTCACAGTCTAGACCTCAATAGCCTTTTCTCATGTGGACTCAACCAGACTCTCTGGCTGGGAGACCTACAGCTTGCCAGCCACCTTGCCTTGCCATTGTTGCCTTGCCAGTGTTGCCTTGCCGGTGTTGCCTTGCCGGTGTTGCCTTGCCAGTGTTGCCTTGCCGGTGTTGCCTTGCCAGTGTTGCCTTGCCGGTGTTGCCTTGCCGGTGTTGCCTTGCCAGTGTTGCCTTGCCAGTGTTGCCTTGCCAGTGTTGCCTTGCCAGTGTTGCCTTGCCAGTGTTGCCTTGCCAGTGTTGCCTTGCCAGTGTTGCCTTGCCAGTATTGCCAATCTTGCCTTGCCGGTGTTGCCTTGCCAGTATTGCCAATCCTGTGTTGCCACACTAAATAAGTCTGGAGGAGAACAAACTAGGTTAATCCAACATGTGAGAAAAATCCGATGGCTATAATCTCATTAAACTTTCATTAATCCCTGTCGATTGTCTTCAGCCCCTTGCACATGTCTCAGACTCAGTCACAAGCTTATGTATTGAGGACAGTATTGAGGACCATAGCCATGGCAAGACGAGCTGAAAAGAGATAAAGAGAGAGGAGAGCTTAGTGAATTATAAATGTGATGTCTCTAACGCTCTCCCTGCCCCCTTCTCTCTCTTCCTCCATCTTGGATTCCAACACCCAGAGAGAGTGGCAGTTAAGATCCTGGATAAAGTCAAACTGGACAAGAGGTCCCACGTGCTGTTTGCCTCAGAGATCGGATGCATGGAGAGGCTGTCCCACCCCAACATTGTGCGTCTGTACGAGGTGGTGGAGACGTTTAAGCGGCTGTACCTGGTCATGGAGTACGCCAGTGGAGGAGATCTGTTCTCACGCATTACCACCAGGGGTAGACTCTCAGACCTGGAAAGCAAACTCATCTTTTCCCAGATACTGGCTGCAGTCAAACACATGGTGAGTTAGCAACATTATAGTCTCACATCGACTCTAACTACTACAGTAGCACTGTGCTGTAAGTCTGTCTAAACAACAACGGCCCATGGAGGACCCCATTTTAAATAAGTGTTGGGTGATACGTTGATGTATCCTTAGGGCCCTAACGTGCACACTCAGTCTCTGTGTACAAATCTTGCTTTGTGTTTCAAGTATTTTCTTCTTGTCATCTTCCAGCACGATAACAACATAGTCCACCGGGACCTGAAGGCAGAGAACGTGTTCTACACCACCTCCTACTGCATCAAGGTAGGCGACTTCGGCTTCAGCACCTCCTCGCGCCCCGACGACGTCCTCACCACCTTCTGCGGCTCCCCGCCCTACGTCGCCCCAGAGCTCTTCAGGGACAAAGGCTACGTGGGCCAGTCCGCTGACGTCTGGGCCCTGGGTGTACTACTCTACTTCATGACTACTGCCATGTTGCCCTTCAACGCTGCCAACCTCAGCCGGCTGAAGGTCTGCATCCTTCAGGGCTCCTTCACCATCCCAGCCTACGTGCCCGACCCCTGCCACCAGGTCATCCAGGGCATCCTGAGGCCCGTGCCCACCGACCGCCTCTCTGTAGCTCATATCATGACATACACCTGGCTGAAGGGCATCGACTACCCCCAGGCGTACCCCTCCTCCCGCCCGACCCCAGCCCACCTGGCTGAGCCCTCCCGGGTCCTGAGTACAGACGAGCTGGATGTCAAGGCAGCCCTGGAGAACCTGGGGATAACAGAGAGTCACCTGGTGAACAACACCTGCCCAGACCTGAGGAGCCCTGTGACGGGGGCCTATAGGATCCTGCTGCACCGCATCCATAAGAGGAAAACAGTGGAGGCGGTGGGGTACAGCGCTGCGTGTCACAAAGACTTCCAGGTCAAGAGACGCTGGAGCGAGGGGACCTTGCCTCTGATAAGGCCTTCTGCTGTGTGTGTAATCATGTAGAGGTGGAGGAGTCTAGCTAGTCAGACGGGCAGTAGTCTAGGCCTAATCAGACTCACTGCTGGGACAACTGTATAAATATCTCTCTCTGTCTTATGACAAGGAGCGGTAGTCAGCAGAAGAAGGACCTTGAAGCGAATGGCACTTTTAACAAACACAAGGGACAAAATTAAATGAACGATAACGAGATGTACATAACACAGTTTCTATTGGGTTGTTTTTGGTAAGGTCTTGGGAGCTACTTCAACAACATGAGGCTGTACAATCACTAATATATTAGAGACTCATTCAGGGACGGTTTTTTTTCTTCTGTGGAAAAAAGAGAACGTTGAATAGGAAGAACACAAGGACACTGAATAGGAAGCACACAAGGACACTGAATAGGAAGCACACAAGGACACTGAATAGGAAGCACACAAGGACACTGAATAGGAAGCACACAAGGACACTGAATAGGAAGCACACAAGGACACTGAATAGGAAGCACACAAGGACACTGAATAGGAAGCACACAAGGACACTGAATAGGAAGCACACAAGGACACTGAATAGGAAGCACACAAGGACAATGAATAGGAAGAACACAAGGACACTGAATAGGAAGAACACAAGGACAATGAATAGGAAGCACACAAGGACACTGAATAGGAAGCACACAAGGACAATGAATAGGAAGCACACAAGGACACTGAATAGGAAGCACACAAGGACACTGAATAGGAAGCACACAAGGACACTGAATAGGAAGCACACAAGGACACTGAATAGGAAACACACAAGGACACTGAATAGGAAGCACACAAGGACACTGAATAGGAAGGACACAAGGACACTGAATAGGAAGCACACAAGGACACTGAATAGGAAGCACACAAGGACAATGAATAGGAAGCACACAAGGACACTGAATAGGAAGCACACAAGGACAATGAATAGGAAGCACACAAGGACACTGAATAGGAAGCACACAAGGACACTGAATAGGAAGCACACAAGGACAATGAATAGGAAGCACACAAGGACACTGAATAGGAAGCACACAAGGACACTGAATAGGAAGCACACAAGGACACTGAATAGGAAGAACACAAGGACAATGAATAGGAAGCACACAAGGACACTGAATAGGAAGCACACAAGGACACTGAATAGGAAGCACACAAGGACACTGAATAGGAAGCACACAAGGACACTGAATAGGAAGCACACAAGGACGTTGCAACGACAAAGGATTCTTTGCCTTCAAAAAAATATATCCATGTTTTTATATTTGGAGTATTGTGCTTTAGTTTGACACAACCCACATTAAACATAGTCAGTTGTAGGGTTACTTATACTGTGAAAGTTTTTACTGTGTAAACTTAACAATCAGACAGTATTCTTATCTATAGGTTTTTTGTCATACATCCTTGTTTTTCTTATATAATCAATTGTATTATATTTCTGTGATTTGCATAATGTTTTTCACTGTCATTGTCACATTAAAATGTTTTGTAGATAACAATAAGAAGTGATAGTGTTAATTATAATGACTATCTGCTCATTACAAAGAGTCTCAGTGATAATGACTATCTGCTCATTACAAAGAGTCTCAGTGATAATGACTATCTGCTCATTACAAAGAGTCTCAGTGATAATGACTATCTGCTCATTACAAAGAGTCTCAGTGATAATGACTATCTGCTCATTACAAAGAGTCTCAGTGATAATGACTATCTGCTCATTACAAAGAGTCTCAGCGATAATGACTATCTGCTCATTACAAAGAGTCTCAGTGATAATGACTATCTGCTCATTACAAAGAGTCTCAGTGATAATGACTATCTGCTCATTACAAAGAGTCTCAGTGATAATGACTATCTGCTCATTACAAAGAGTCTCAGTGATAATGACTATCTGCTCATTACTTCGTTATAATGATTTAACAGTTCAACCGGAGTTCAGTCACTTAAAAAATACAACAAAAAAAACATTGGATACAAAATGTAATATTACTCTTAAAAAGAACTTGAAAACACACAAAACATCTGAACAACATTCAACAAACAGCAATTTTATAACCGATGACATTGATAAAAAAAAAACACTAATCAGAAATGACACCATGATGCCAAGACATTCAGAGGCTTACGGATTTTTGGGCAGTGGTCAGACGGGCTGCTACACTAAATACACTAGCTCAGAATCCAACGACATCAAAAGTCCTGGAAATTGCATTGGCTTTAAACACAACGTTCACATGAAACATATACAAGACTCACATGGAGCACTCCCTAACCTGCTTGCAGGCTGCGTTGTCCCCTCTGTGTTGGAGGGGTTTTCTCCTCACCTCCCTGACTGAGCAATCCACAGCTGCAGGTCTGGAGATAGGGTCCACAGCTGCATACAGTGAGGGAAAAAAGTATTTGATCCCCTGCTGATTTTGTACGTTTGCCCACTGACAAATAAATGATCAGTCTATAATTTTAATGGAAGGTTTATTTGAACAGTAAGAGACAGAATAACAACAAAACATCCAGAAAAACGCATGACAAAAATGTTATAAATTGATTTGCATTTTAATGAGGAAATAAGTATTTGACCCCTTCTCAATCAGAAAGATTTCTGGCTCCCAGGTTTCTTTTATACAGGTAACGAGCTGAGATTAGGAGCACACTCTTAAAGGGAATGCTCCTAATCTCAGCTTGTTACCTGTATAAAAGACACATGTCCACAGAAGCAATCAATCAATCTGATTCCAAACTCTCCACCATGGCCAAGACCAAAGAGCTCAACAAGGATGTCAGGGACAAGATTGTAGACCTACACAAGGCTGAAATGGGCTACAAGACCATCGCCAAGCAGCTTGGTGAGAAGGTGACAACAGTTGGTGTGATTATTCGCAAATGGAAGAAACACAAAGTAACTGTCAATCTCCCTCGGCCTGGGGCTCCATGCAAGATCTCACCTCGTGGAGTTGCAATGATCATGAAAATGGTGAGGATTCAGCCCAGAACTACACGGGAGGATCTTGTCAATGATCTCAAGGCAGCTGGGACCATAGTCACCAAGAAAACAATTGGTAACACACTACGCCGTGAAGGACTGAAATCCTGCAGCGCCCGCAAGGTCCCCCTGCTCAAGAAAGCACATATACATGCCCGTCTGAAGTTTGCCAATGAACATCTGAATGATTCAGAGGAGAACTGGGTGAAAGGGTTGTGGTCAGATGAGACCAAAATGGAGCTCTTTGGCATCAACTCAACTCGCCGTGTTTGGAGGAGGAGGAATGCTGCCTATGACCCCAAGAACACCATCCCCACCGCCAAACATGGAGGTGGAAACATTATGCTTTGGGGGTGTTTTTCTGCTAAGGGGACAGGACAACTTCACCGCATCAAAGGGATGATGGACGGGGCCATGTACCGTCAAATCTTGGGTGAGAACCTCCTTCCCTCAGCCAGGGCATTGAAAATGGGTCGTGGATGGTTATTCCAGCATGACAATGACCCAAAACACACGGCCAAGGCAACAAAGGAGTGGCTCAAGAAGAAGCACATTAAGGTCCTGGAATGGCCTAGCCAGTCTCCAGACCTTAATCCCATAGAAAATCTGTGGAGGGAGCTGAAGGTTCGAGTTGCCAAACATCAGCCTCGAAACCTTAATGACTTGGAGAAGATCTGCAAAGAGGAGAAGGACAAAATCCCTCCTGAGATGTGTGCAAACCTGGTGGCCAACTACAAGAAACTTCTGACCTCTGTGATTGCCAACAAGGGTTTTGCCTCCAAGTACTACAGTGAGGGAAAAACGTATTTGATCCCCTGCTGATTTTGTAAGTTTGCCCACTGACAAAGACATGATCAGTCTATAATTTTAATGGTAGGTTTATTTGAACAGTGAGAGACAGAATAACAACAACAAAATCCAGAAAAACGCATGTCAAAAATGTTATAAATTGATTTGCATTTTAATGAGGGAAATAAGTATTTGACCCCTCTGCAAAACATGACTTAGTACTTGGTGGCAAAACCATGTTTGGCAATCACAGAGGTCAGACGTTTCTTGTAGTTGGCCACCAGGTTTGCACACATCTCAGGAGGGATTTTGTCCCACTCCTCTTTGCAGATCTTCTCCAAGTCATTAAGGTTTCGAGCCTGACGCTTGGCAACTCGAACCTTCAGCTCCTTCCACAGATTTTCTATGGGATTAAGGTCTGGAGACTGGCTAGGCCACTCCAGGACCTTAATGTGCTCCTTCTTGAGCCACTCCTTTGTTGCCTTGGTCGTGTGTTTTGGGTCATTGTCATGCTGGAATACCCATCCATGACCCATTTTCAATGCCCTGGCTGAGGGAAGGAGGTTCTCACCCAAGATTTGACGGTACATGGCCCCGTCCATCATCCCTTTGATGCGGTGAAGTTGTCCTGTCCCCTTAGCAGAAAAACACCCCCAAAGCATAATGTTTCCACCTCCATGTTTGACGTGGGGATGGTGTTCTTGGGGTCATAGGCAGCATTCCTCCTCCTCCAAACACGGCGAGTTGAGTTGATGCCAAAGAGCTCGATTTTGGTCTCATCTGACCACAACACTTTCACCCAGTTCTCCTCTGAATCATTCAGATGTTCATTGGCAAACTTCATACGGGCCTGTATATGTGCTTTCTTGAGCAGGAGGACCTTGCGGGCGCTGCAGGATTTCAGTCCTTCAAAGCGAAGTTTGTTACCAATTATTTTCTTGGTGACTATGGTCCCAGCTGCCTTGAGATCATTGACAAGATCCTCCCGTGTAGTTCTGGGCTGATTCCTCACCGTTCTCATGACCATTGCAACTCCACAAGGTGAGATCTTGCAAGGAGCCCCAGGCCGAGGGAGATTGACAGTTATTTTGTGTTTCTTCCATTTGCGAATAATCGCACCAACTGTTGTCACCTTCTCACCAAGCTGCTTGGCGATGGTCTTGTAGCTCATTCCAGTCTTGTGTTGGTCTACAATCTTGTCCCTGACATCCTTGGAGAGCTCTTTGGTCTTGGCCATGGTGGAGAGTTTGGAATCTGATTGATTGATTGCTTCTGTGGACAGGTGTCTTTTATACAGGTAACAAACTGAGATTAGGAGCACTCCCTTTAAGAGTGTGCTCCTAATCTCAGCTCGTTACCTGTATAAAAGACACCTGGGAGCCAGAAATCTTTCTGATTGAGAGGGGGTCAAATACTTATTTCCCTCATTAAAATGCAAATCAATTTATAACATTTTTGACATGCGTTTTTCTGAGTTTTTTTGTTGTTATTCTGTCTCTCACTGTTCAAATAAACCTACCATTAAAATTATAGACTGATCATTTCTTTGTCAGTGGGCAAACGTACAAAATCAGCAGGGGATCAAATACTTTTTTCCCTCACTGTACATACACAGACTGGCACACACACACACACACACACACAGACACACAGACACACAGACACACAGACACACAGACACACAGACACACACATACACACACTCTTTCGGTTAGACTCACAGGAACCAGTCGACAGCTATGGTGAGGGTGATGTCTTCAGTGGGCAGGCCAACAGAGGTCAGTATGATCACCATGGTGACCAGGCCAGCCTGAGGGATCTCTGCTGCTCCAGTACTGGTTGCTGTCGCTGTGATACTGGTGACAGGAAACAGGACAAGTAGATGAAAAGTCGAATATGACTAGGGCCCCTGTGTTACTGTCCAGGACAAACTCTGGAACCAGGTCTTTCTGGTCTTGCCTGGTCTCCCCTCTTTCCCCCTGGTCTCCCCTTTTCCCCCCTGGTCTCCTCTCTTTCCCCCTGGTCTCCTCTCTTTCCCCCTGTTCTCCTCTCTTTCCCCCTGGTCTCCTCTCTTTCCCCCTGGTCTCCCCTTTCCCCCCCTGGTCTCCCCTCTTTCCCCCTGGTCTCCCCTCTTTCCCCCTGGTCTCCCCTCTTTCCCCCTGGTCTCCTCTCATTCCCCCTGGTCTCCCCTCTTTTCCCCTGGTCTCCTCTCTTTCCCCCTGGTCTCCTCTCTTTCCCCCTCCAAAAGGCTTCTTCGGCTGTCCCCATAGGAAAACCCTTTTTGGTTCCAGGTAGAACTCTTTTTGGTTCCAGTTAGAACCCTTTTTAGACCCAAAAGGGTTCTACATGGAACCAAAAGGGTTCTACCTGAAACCAAAAAGGGTTCTTCAAAGGGTTATCCTATGGGGACAGCCGAAGAACCCTTTTAGGTTTTAGATAGCACCTTTTTTTCTAAGAGTGTACCTGATGATGAGGTCCATGTGGTTGACCTGGGCAATGAAGATGGCTGCCACGGCCTCGTAGAGCGCTGTCCCATCCATGTTGATGGTAGCGCCCACAGGGAGGTGTACCCTCTTGTCCACATCATTGGTCTCTTCCAGACAGCGGAATGTGATGGGCAGTGTGGCAGAGCTGAGGGAGGGATTAGGAAGAAAATAAGTACATTTGAATGGGATAGATGGATGGATGAAGGAATGAATTAATGGGTGAGTGGATGGGTGGGTGAATGGATGGATGGATGAATGGATGGCTGGATGGATGAATGGGTGAGTGGATGGGTAGGTGGACGGGTAAATGTGTGGCTGGATGGATGGATGAATGGGTTAGTGGATGGATGGATGAATAAATGGATGGTTGAATGACAGCTTCGATCATAAGACCTTATTTCAGGACCATGAGTTCCTTATTTTCTGTTATTCAGTATAATAACAAAAAAATAAAGTTTTCCTTAACTACTTCCTGAAGTCAAACCAAATATCCAGTGTGTGCAGTATTTCATGAGTAGCCTCACCTAGATGAGGTTCCCAGTGCCTGCAGTAGGTAGGGGTTCCTGTGTGTAACGGTGAGGTAGAGCAGAGAGCAGGGTAACCAGGCTGTGAACCAGCAGGCCTGTTATCACACACAGAGTGTGCAGCTGACCCCCCCATCTCTCCAACGTCACGCATCTCCATGATCTTCCCTGCTATCAAGAACAGGATCCTCACTGGGGCGTACCTGAGGGACTGAGACAAAGCAGAGTTGTGTTGCATTCATGTGCACCACTGAACATTGGAAAGTAAGAAACAATCCCACAGGGAAACGTCTAAGAGGGCATGAATGCAGCTTTAGGGCCACATAGAATCTACATGGGCAGAATTATTAAATGCCTTCTATAGCAATTGTGTTCTAAAATAATGTATACAACTATTATTGTTATTATTATTGTTATTATTATTGTTATTATTTTTAAAAATACATAGCAAGATGAGCCACGGCCATTATTACTGTTTACTTACCAGATGATGACGCTGAACTGGCGCATAATGGCTTCGTTCAGGCAGTCAGAGAAGTCCTTCAGAGGTCTTCAACTCTCCCAGGACCAGACCAAAGCCTATAGAGAAGACCACCAGACCCAGGACATTCACCCTACTGGAGGAGACCACAATGGGCACCATGTCACCCCCCTGGTCCCCTGTAGGGCCGGGTGGGCCACGAGGAGGATGGCTGCTTCCTACCGTTCTACGAAAGCTGCCGGGGGGGCTGACGCTGTCGTAGTCCATGTGGGGACAAACGACATTAGGAAGGCTAGCTCGGGAACTGCTGAAAATGGATTTGAAAGAACTGATTCTAGCTCTGAAAGACTCCAAAATCTGCAGATTATTTCAAGCCATCTGCCATCGCTGGGCCACGGCTGCGAAAGATTCTTTGCAGGCTACTGACATTACACATCTGGCTAAAAGACTACTTCAGCTCTGTTGGCATAACTTTTATAGATAACTTTGACACATTTTGGTAACAGAGGATGCTCTAGTCCACAGGAATGACGGAGTCATCGTGTCAGCATGGACCAACATCCCTGTGGAATGTTTCCAACACCTTGTAGAACTCCCCGTAGACTTCATGCTGTTCTGGAGGCAAAGGAGGGTCCAAAACCCAGTACTAAATGGGCATACCCAGTAAACTGTCCGTTGAGTGTATATGGGGCTCTCATTATTTCTTAAACCTTTTTACACAATGCAGTGTTCTTTAATGCCAATTCAAAATCATTTTGAATTCTACTCCTCAATAGTTAAGTTGGATACAACCTATTGTGCCGGGAGTTGAACGCAGGCCCTGACAGGTGGTATTCTCATCCGAGTGCCACTGCCAAGAAGAGAGGCCATGTGCAGTGACCCTAAATACCAGAACACAGACGATTGACTGGCCTTATCCAAGAGTTCACCCACGGTGTGCTGAGATGGATATCATTTATCAACATATTGGTTGTGTCAATAATCATGTTTCAATTAACATTGGAAAGAATATGTCAATATAGCCAGCAAACGTGTAGATATTAAATTCTCAGAGTTTAAAAAAAACAACAAAAAAACATCCCTCATATTCCTCAAAAAGTATTGCATGCCCACTCCTAAGCCCCAGTTGTAGAAGACAACGGCACCCTATTCCCTATATAGTGCACTACTTTGGACCACAGCACTACTTTGGACCAGGGGCTCTGGTCAAATGTAGTGCACTATATAGGGAATAGGGTGCCGTTTGGGACCCATCCAGTGTAACCTGAGTGCAGTGTGAGGCATCAGTCAGCCACAGAGCAGCACTAAGGGCTGATACTACGCTGAAGGCATGCTGGAAGACAGCCCTTATTCTCTGCTGTCAAAGCGGCTGCCATTCAGATGGGGGGGAAATGATGAAATGCTGCCATTATAAAGGGGAACCAAAGGGCTCGGTGGCAGGAGACACCCGATCTAACCTGGCAACCTGGCCTCCCTTTGTCCCCATGCAGCCATTTCATATCTGACATATCCACAGTCCACCACACCACACCACACCACACCACAGGCCTGCCTTCATACTGATACGTGCCATGGCACAGAGGTGCCAGGTTGTTGGGCTGAGAAATGGGGAACAAGCAGACGATCTTCACGGCACAGCAGCTTGATGCGTATCAGGTCAGTGTGTTTGTTTGTTTGTTTGTTTGTGTTTGTGTGTGTGTGTGTGTGTGTGTGTGTGTGTGTGTGTGTGTGTGTGTGTGTGTGTGTGTGTGTGTGTGTGTGTGTGTGTGTGTGTGTGTCGGTCTATTTATTTAACCCCCTCAGTGTGGTGATGACTTACTCTCTTCAGATAGCTTGTTGATTGAGACAAATTGCTTCACTCATCTAGCTTAGTGTTGCTTTCATGTGGGTACTGTAATTAGTGAATGTTGGTACTGTAATTAGTGAATGGGGGTACTGTAATTAGTGAATGTTGGTACTGTAATTAGTGAATGGGGGTACTGTAATTAGTGAATATTGGTACTGTAATTAGTGAATGGGGGTACTGTAATTAGTGAATGGGGGGGTACTGTAATTAGTGAATGGGGGTACTGTAATTAGTGAATGGGGGGTACTGTAATTAGTGAATGGGGGGTACTGTAATTAGTGAATGGGGTACTGTAATTAGTGAATGGGGGGTACTGTAATTAGTGAATGGGGGGTACTGTAATTAGTGAATGGGGGTACTGTAATTAGTGAATGGGGGTACTGTAATTAGTGAATGGGGGTACTGTAATTAGTGAATGGGGGGTACTGTAATTAGTGAATGGGGGGTACTGTAATTAGTGAATGGGGGTACTGTAATTAGTGAATGGGGGGTACTGTAATTAGTGAAAGGGGGTACTGTAATTAGTGAATGGGGGGTACTGTAATTAGTGAATGTTGGTACTGTAATTAGTGAATGGGGGTACTGTAATTAGTGAATGGGGGTACTGTAATTAGTGAATGGGGGGAGTGCATAGATACAAAACACAGGTCTTGGCACACTTTTTATTTTGTAGCTCTGTTTGCTAAGAAAACAGACACAGCAAACATAGAAACGGTCAGGTGCTTAATGTGATGTTATGGACCACAGCTGTGTGGTCGTATTCAGGTCAAACAAACCAAAGCTAGCGAGATAACCATAGCACAATGTTTAATCTGAGCCACAAGTCACTTCTTTCTTAAAATGAAAAATGAAAATTCTAAATAAAACCTCTTGAATTGTTGCAGCTGTGAGTCATTATTATGTAATAGTGTTTTTGTTGCTCCTAATTAGTCTGTGGTTGCATTTGCAGGACTGCACATTCTTCACAAGGAAAGAAATTCTAAGGTGAGAGGATTACTATTATAGATGATGCTTCGTCTTTGCAAAGGGAAAACAGTTAAGTATACTGTATAACTAACTACAGTGGCTTGCGAAAGTATTCACCCCCCCTTGGCATTTTTCCTATTTTGTTGCCTTACAAACTGGAATTAAAATGCATTTTTTGAGGGGTTGTATCATTTGATTTACACAACATGCCTCCCACTTTGAAGATGCAAAAAAAAATGTGGGTGTGAAACAAACAAGAAATAAGACAAAAAAACAGAAAACTTGGGCATGCATAACTATTCACCCCCCCCCCCCCCCCCAAAGTCAATACTTTGTAGAGCCACCTTTTGCAGCAACTACAGCTGCAAGTCTCTTGGGGTATAATAATAATAATAATAATAATAATAATAATAATAATAATAATAATAATCTATAATCTATACGTTTAGCACATCTAGCCACTGGGATTTTTGCACATTCTTCAAGGAAAAACTGCTCCAGCTCCTTCAAGTTTGTCATAAACCGTTGTGGATGTGGTGGAGGAGTCAAGCGCAGGAAGCAGAGGTTTAGTCCAACAAGACTTTTAATAGTCTCAAATGCAAGATAACAAACCCGACCTCGATAACACGAAGTGGCGAGGGAAAATTACGCACACGCGTAAAACACTAAACATGGAAAAATGACACGGAAAACAAACACGTATCATATACAAAGTGGCAACGGAAAAACAACACACAAATACCCTAGATTACAACACGGAACTTATAAGACACGTAATCAACTCTCAAACAGACACAGGTGTGACAGACAGACAAAAGCAATCAAACTCAGAAACATAGAGCGGTGGCAGCTAGTACTCCGGGGACGGCGAACGCCGAAGCCTGCCCGAACCAGGAGGAGGAGCAGCCTCGGCCGAAACCGTGACAAAGTTGGATGGGTTCCGCTGGTGTACAGCAATCTTCAAGTCATACCACAGATTCTCAATTGGATTGAGGTCTGGGCATTGACTAGGCCATTCCAAGACATTTCAATATTTCCCCTTAAACCACTCGAGTGTTGCTTTAGCAGTATGCTTAGGGTCATTGTCCTGCTGGAAGGTGAACCTCCGTCCCAGTCTCAAATCTCTGGAAGACTGAAACAGGTTTCCCTCAAGAATTTCCCTGTATTTAGTGCCATCCATCATTCCTTCAATTCTGACCAGTTTCCCAGTCCCTGCCGATGAAAAACATCCCCACAGCATGATGCTACCACCACCATGATTCACTGTGGGGATGATTCACCTGTGACACAGGTGTTGGGTTTGCGCCAGACATAGCGTTTCCTTTGATGGCCAAAAAGCTCAATTTTAGTCTCATCTGACCAGAGTACCTACTTCCATATGTTTGGGGAGTCTCCCACATGCCTTTTGGCAAACACCAAACGTGTTTGCTTATTTTTTTCTATAAGCAATGGCTTTTTTCTGGCCACTCTTCCGTAAAGCCCAGCTCTGTGGAGTGTACGGCTTAAAGTGGTCCTATGGACACATACTCCAATCTCCGCTGTGGAGCTTTGCAGCTCCTTCAGGGTTATCTTTGGTCTCTTTGTTGTCTCTCTGATTAATGCCCTCCTTGCCTGGTCCATGAGTGTTGGTGGACGGCCCTCTCTTGGCAGGTTTGTTGTGGTGCCATATTCTTTCCATTTTATAATAATGAATTTAATGGTGCTCCGTGGGATGTTCAAAGTGTCAGATATTTTTTTATAACCAACCCTGATCTGTACTTCTCCTCAACTTTGTCCCTGACCTGTTTGGAGAGCTCCTTGGTCTTCATTTTTATTTTTTATTTAACCTTTATTTAACCAGGCAAGCCAGTTGAGAACAAGTTCTCATTTACAACTGCGACCTGGCCAAGATAAAGCAAAGCAGTGCGATAAAAACAACAACACAGAGTTACATATGGGGTAAACAAAACATAAAGTCAAAAATACAACAGAAAATATATATACAGTGTGTGCAAATGTAGCAAGTTATGGAGGTAAGGCAATAAATAGGCTATAGAGCAAAATAATTACAATTAGTATTAACACTGGAATGATAGATGTGCAAGAGATGATGTGCAAATAGAGATACTGGGGTGCAAATTAGCAAATTAGAAAACAATATGGGGATGAGGTAGTTGGGTGGGCTAATTTCAGAATGTCTGTGTACAGGTGCAGTGATCGGTAAGCTGCTCTGACAACTGATGCTTAAAGTTAGTGAGGGAGATAAGAGTCTCCAGCTTCAGAGATTTTTGCAGTTCGTTCCAGTCATTGGCAGCAGAGAACTGGAAGGAATGGCGGCCAAAGGAGGTGTTGGCTTTGGGGATGACCAGTGAGATATACCTGCTGGAGTGCAGACTACGGGTGGGTGTTGCTATGGTGACCAGTGAGCTAAGTTAAAGCAGGGATTTGCCTAGCAGTGATTTATAGATGACCTGGAGCCAGTGGGTTTGGTGACGAATATGTAGTGAGGGCCAGCCAACAAGAGCGTACAGGTCACAATGGTGAGTAGTATATGGGACATCCAATTTTCTGAGTAGAGTGTTGGAGGCTATTTTGTAAATGACATCGCCAAAGTCAAGGATCGGTAGGATAGTCAGTTTTACGAGGGCATGTTTAGCAGCATGAGTAAAGGAGGCTTTGTTGCGAAATAGGAAGCTGATTCTAGAGCGACATCATTGATATACACAGAGAAAAGAGTCTGCCTAAGAATTGAACCCTGTGGCACCCCCATAGAGACTGCCATAGGTCCAGACAACAGGCCCTCCGATTTGACACATTGAACTCTATCTGAGGAGTAGTTGGTGAACCAGGCGAGGCAGTCATTTGAGAAACCAAGGCTATTTAGTCTGCCAATAAGAATGCGGTGGTTGAAAGAGTCGAAAGCCTTGGCCAGGTCGATGAAGACGGCTGCGCAGTACTGTCTTTTATCGATCGCGGTTATAATATCGTTTAGGACCTTGAGCGTGGCTGAGGTGCACCCATGACCAGCTCGGAAACCGGATTGCATAGCAGAGAAGGTACAGTGGGATTCGAAATGGTCGGTGATCTGTTTGTTAACTTGGCTTTCAAATACTTTCGAAAGGCAGGGCAGGATGGATATAGGTCTGTAACAGTTTGGATCTAGAGTGTCACCCCCTTTGAAGAGGGGGATGACCGCGGCAGCTTTCCAATCTCTGGGGATCTCAGACGTTACGAAAGAGAGGTTGAACAGGCTAGTAATAGGGGTTGCGATAATTTTGGCGGGTAATTTTAGAAAGAAAGGATGCAGATTGTATAGCCCAGCTGATTTGTAGGGGTCCCGATTTTTCAGCTCCTTCAGAACATCAGCTGTCTGAATTTGTGTGAAGGAGAAGTGGGGGGGGGGGGGGGGGGGGGGGGCAATGGCAAGTTGCAGCGGAGGGTGCAGAGCTGGTGGCCGGGGTAGTGGTAGCCAGGTGGAAAGCATGGCCAGCCGTACCAAAATGCTTGTTGAAATTCTCGATTATTGTAGATTTATCGGTGGTGATAGTGTTTCCTAGCCTCAGTGCAGTGGGCAGTTGGGAGGAGGTGCTCTTATTCTCCATGGACTTTATAGTGCCCCAAAACTTTTTGGAGTTAGTGCTACAGGATGCAAATTTCTGTTTGAAAAAGCTAGCCTTTGATTTCCTAACTGATTGTGTATATTGGTTCCTGACTTTCCTGAAAAGTTGCATGTCGCGGGGGCTGTTCGATGCTAATGCAGTACGCCACAGGATGTTTTTGTGCTGGTCAAGGGCAGTCAAGTCTGAGGAGAACCAGGGGCTATATCTGTTCTTAGTTCTGCATTTTTTGAATGGGGCATGCTTATTTAAGATTGAGAAAGCACTTTTAAAGAACAACCAGGCATCCTCTACTGCTTGCTAAAGTGTTTTAGGGAGCGTTTGACAGTGATGAGGGGTGGTCGTTTGACCGCGGACCCATTACGGACGCAGGCAATAAAGGCAGTGATTGCTGAGATCCTGGTTGAAGACAGCGGAGGTGTATTCATGGGGTACATTTGTCAGGATGATATCTATGAGGGTGCCCATGTTTACAGATTTAGGGTTGCACCTGGTACGTTCGTTTATCATTTGTGTGAAATTGAGGGCATCTAGCTTAGATTGTAGGTTGGCCGGGGTGTTAAGCATATCCCAGTTTAGGTCACCAGCAGTAATAATATAAATAATAATATGCCATTTAGCAGACGCTTTTATCCAAAGCGACTTACAGTCATGCGTGCATAAATTTTTGTGTATGGGTGGTCCCGGGGATCGAACCCACTACCCTGGCGTTTCAAGCGCCGTGCTCTACCAGCTGAGCTACAGAGGACCACAAACTCTGAGGATAGATGGGGGGCACATATGGTGTCCAGGGCACAGCTCGGGGCTGAGGGGGGGTCTGTAGCAAGCAGCAACAGTGAGAGACTTATTTCTGGAAAGGTGGATTTTTAGAAGTAGAAGCTCAAACTGTTTGGGCACAGACCTGGATAGTATGATGGAGCTCTGCAGGCTATCTCTACAGTAGATTGCAACCCCACCCCCTTTGGCAGTTCTATATAGACGGAAAATGTTGTAGTTGGAGATGGACATTTCTGAATTTTTGGTGGCCTTCCTAAACCAGGATTCAGACACTGCTAGAACATCAGGGTTGGCGGAGTGTGATAACACAGTGAATAACTCAAACTTAGGGAGGGGGCTTCTGATGTTAACGTGCAAGAAACCAAGGCTTTTACAGTTACAGAAGTCAACAAATGATAACGCCTGGGGAGTAGGAGTGATACTGAGGGCTACAGGGCCTGGGTTAACCTCTACATCACCAGAGGAACAGAGGAGGAGTAGAATAAGGATACGGCTAAAGGCTTTAAAAACTTTTCTTCTAGTGCGTTGGGTACAGAGAATAAAAGGGGCAGATTTCCGGGCATTGTACAATAGATTCAGGGCTTTATGTACAGATATGGAAGGATATGAGTACAGTGGAGGTAAACCTAAGCGTTGGATAACGATGAAAGAGATAGAATCACTGGAGGCATCGATTGAGTCGGTCTATGGGGGGTGGGACAAATTAGCTATCTAAGGCAGGTTGAGCTGGACTGGAGGCTCTACAGTGAAATAGTACAATAAGAAATAACCGAAACAGCAATAAGCAAGGCATATTGACATGGGAGAGAGGCATAAAGCAATCACAGACCCCCCCCCAGACCCCCTGCTACAGACCCCCCTCAGCCCCCAGCTGTGCCCTGGACACCATATGTGAATTGATTGCCCCCCATTTATCCTCAGAGTTCGTACTGCTTGGTGACCTAAATTGGGATATGCTTAACACCCCGGCCATCCTACAATCCAAACTAGATGCCCTCAATCTCACACAAATTATCAAGGAACCTACCAGGTACAACCCTAAATCCATTAACATGGGTACCCTCATAGATATCATCCTGACTAACTTACCCTCTAAATACACCTCCGCTGTCTTCAACCAGGATCTCAGCGATCACTGCCTTATTGCCTGCGTCCGTAACGGGTCCGCGGTCAAACGACCACCCCTCATCACTGTCAAACGCTCCCTAAAACACTTCAGCGAGCAGGCCTTCCTAATTGACCTGGCCCAGGTATCCTGGATGGATATAGATCTCATTCTGTCAGTAGAGGATGCCTGGTTGTTCTTTAAAAGTAATTTCCTCTCAATCTTAAATAAACATGCCCCATTCAAAAATACAGAACTAAGAACAGATATAGCCCCTGGTTCTCCTCAGACTTGACTGCCCTTGACCAGCACAAAAACATCCTGTGGCGTACTGCATTAGCATCAAATAGCCCCCGCGATATGCAACTTTTCAGGGAAGTTAGGAACCAATATACACAAGCAGTTAGGAAAGCAAAGGCTAACTTTTTCAAACAGAAATGTGCATCCTGTAGCACTCCAAAGAGTTTTGGGACACTGTAAAGTCCATGGAGAATAAGAGCACTTCCTCCCAGCTGCCCACTGCACTGAGGCTAGGAAACACTATCACCACCGATAAATCTACAATAATCGAGAATTTCAACAAGCATTTTGGTATGGCTGGCCATGCTTTCCACCTGGCTACCACTACCCCGGCCACCAGCTCTGCACCCTCCGCTGCAACTTGCCAATGCCCCCCCCCGCTTCTCCTTCACACAAATCCAGACAGCTGATGTTCTGAAAGAGCTGCAAAATCTGGACCCCTACAAATCATCTGGGCTAGACAATCTGGACCCTTTCTTTCTAAAACTAGCCGCCGAAATTGTCGCAACCCCTATTACTAGCCTGTTCAACCTCTCTTTCTTAACGTCTGAGATCCCCAGAGATTGGAAAGCTGCCGCGGTCATCCCCCTCGTCAAAGGGGGTGACATTCTAGATCCAAACTGTCCTGCCTTTCGAAAGTTTTTGAAAGCCAAGTTAACAAACAGATCACCGACCATTTCGAATCCCACCGTACCTTCTCCACTATGCAATCCGGTTTCCGAGCTGGTCATGGGTGCACTTCAGCCACGCTCAAGGTCCTAAACGATATTATAACCGCGATCGATAATAGACAGTACTGTGCAGCCGTCTTCATCGACCTGGCCAAGGCTTTCGACTCTTTCAACCACCGCATTCTTATTGGCAGACTAAATAGCCTTGGTTTCTCAAATGACTGCTTCGCCTGGTTCACCAACTACTTCTCAGATAGAGTTCAATGTGTCAAATCGGAGGGCCTGTTGTCTGGACCTATGGCAGTCTCTATGGGGGTGCCACAGGGTTCAATTCTTGGGCCGACTCTTTTCTCTGTCTATATCAATGATGTCGCTCTTGCTGCTGGTGACTCTCAGATCCACCTCTACGCAGACGACACCATTTTGTATACATCTGGCCCTTCATTGGACACTGTGTTAACAAACCTCCAAACGAGCTTCAATGCCATACAACACTCCTTCAGTAGCCTCCAACTGCTCTTAAACACTAGTAAAACTAAATGCATGCTCTTCAATCGAACGCTGCTGGCACCTGCCCACCCGACTAGAATCACTACTCTCGACGGGTCTGACCTAGAGTATGTGGACAACTACAAATACCTAGGTGTCTGGTTAGACTGTAAACTCTCCTTCCAGACTCACATTAAGAATCTCCAATCCAAAGTTAAATCTAGAATCGGTTTCCTATTTCGCAACAAAGCCTCCTTCACTCATGCTGCCAAACATGCCCTCGTAAAACTGACTATCCTACCGATCCTTGACTTTGGCGATGTCATTTACAAAATAGCCTCCAACACTCTACTCAGCAAATTGGATGTAGTCTATCACAGTGCCATCCGTTTTGTCTCCAAAGCCCCATATACTACCCACCACTGTGACCTGTACTCTCTTGTTGGCTGGTCCTCACTACATTTTCGTCGCCAAACCCACTGGCTCCAGGCCATCTACAAATCACTGCTAGGCAAATCCCTGCCTTATCTTAGCTCATTGGTCACCATAGCAACACCCACCCGTAGTATGCGCTCCAGCAGGTATATCCCCAAAGCCAACACCTCCTTTGGCCGCCATTCCTTCCAGTTCTCTGCTGCCAATGACTGGAACAAATTGCAAAAATCTCTGAAGCTGGAGACACTTATCTCCCTCACTAACTTTAAGCATCCGTTGTCAGAGCACCTTACCGATCACTGCACCTGTACACAGCCCATCTGAAATTAGCCCGCCCAACTACCTCCTCCCTATATTGTTATTTATTTTGCTCATTTGCACCCCAGTATCTCTATTTGCACATCATCTCTTGCACATCTATCATTCTAGTGTTAATACTAATTGTAATTATTTTGCACTATAGCCTATTTATTGCCTTACCTCCATAACTTGCTACATTTGCACACACTGTATATATATTTTCTGTTGTATTTTTGACTTTATGTTTTGTTTTACCCCATATGTAACTCAGTGTTGTTGTTTTTATCGCACTGCTTTGCTTTATCTTGGCCAGGTCGCAGTTGTAAATGAGAACTTGTTCTCAACTGGCTTACCTGGTTAAATAAAGGTGAAATAAAATAAAATAAATAAAATAAAATAAAATTACAAAAAATGAATGGTGCTGCTTGCTTGGTGGTGCCCCTTGCTTAGTGGTGTTGCAGACTCTAGGGCCTTTCAGAACAGGTGTATATATACAGAGATCATGTGACAGATCATGTGACACTTAGATTGCACACAGGTGGACTTTATTTAACTAATTATGTGACTTCTGAAGGTAATTGGTTGCACCAGATCTTATTTAGGGGCTTCATAGCAAAGGGGGTGAATACATATGCATGCACCACTTTTCCGTTATTTATTATTTTTTAGAATTTTTTGAAACAAGTTATTTTTTTCATTTCACTTCACCAATTTTGACTATTTTGTGTATGTCCATTACATGAAATCCAAATTAAAAATCAATTTAAATTACAGGTTGTAATGCAATAAAATAGGAAAAAACGCCAAGGGGGATGAATACTTTTGCAAGGCACTGTAAGCCTAGGCAGAATATGACACTTAACCACTGATAGGTTCTTACTCCAAATTTAGCTGCTTGGATTTTGTTCAGTTCTGCATCGTGCAACCTTTCACTAGGGTGAATGTTATTCTGTACACATGTAACAGTAGACCAAAGATACTGGGACATACATACTGTATGTTATCCGAGCTCACATGTCAAAACAAAAGACTGAGACCAACGCTTCAGCTTTAGACATTGCTTAGGTTGTATACTGTACCTACAGCAAAAAGCTGCAGTTTCGAAATAGTTTACTATGCTACAACAGTACATTTATATTTGTTCACTTCACCAATCGACCTACTTTTCTTTTAAATCTGTTATTATCTGATTTGATGTAGAAAGTGGACATTATCCAGTCTGCCCATCTGATATACTTCAGGTTCAACTTTCTTTCCCCCCCTCCTAGACTATTCGACCGTTATCGAGACTTGGCACCACACCTCGTTCCTCTCGACTACACAGACCAGCCAGATGTGAGGCTACCGTATGAGCTGATTGGCAGCATGCCAGAACTGAAGGTGTACCCCCCGGTCCCGTGCTTGAACACACACATTAGTGGATACGCCCCCCAGATTACACCCTATTCCCTTTATAGTGCAGCTATTTTGACCGGAACACTATATAGGGCATAGGGTGTTATTTGGGACGCATCAAATGTGTCTATCTCAAATGTGTCTATTCATTATTAATACACAACTAATTGACAGTAGCCTCTGAACGGTTGGTTATATGTTACCTGACTCTAATAAACCATATGAAGGGCTGGGCGACCTACAGGGCACAGAGTACGATTGGGTCCACTATGAGCCTCTTTACACACACCATGACAACAGCACAAACAACTGATGTCAGTACTCCTGTATTTCCTGTCCTGTCCCTCTGGCTTATTCCCTGTGGTCGTTTAGCGGAGGGGGTTCAGTGAACCACACTCACGTGATGGATAACCTTGCGTGAGACGTAATGACTTGTGTTAGCATCTCATCACTAATGCCAAGGCCTTAGCTCAGTGAGCTAACACAGTCATGCAGGGGAACCAGGGTTCAAATCCCGTGTCAGTCCCCTTGTTTGGTCTCTTCAACAGAGGATTGCTGACTTGTGTTCGTTTTCCGGGCTAATGCAGAGGCTTTAGCTCAGCAGGCTAACACATTAAAGTGCTACTCGGGTTCAAACCCAGTTAGTCCAAGTGTTTGGTCTCTCCTCAGGACAACCCATTCCAATTCCCTGACTTATGTTAGCTCCCCAAGATAATGCCAAGGCTTTAGCTCAGCAGGCTAACACAGTCATGCAAATTACCTAGGTTCAGTAACAGTGTTGCATCTCTCAATCAGAGGATTGCTGACTTGTGTTAGCTCCCCAAGCGAATGTCAAAGCATTAGCTCAGCGGGCTAACACAGTCATGTGTCTCTCCTCAGGACAACCCGTTCCGCCAGAGGATCGCTGAGGTTTTCTCGGAGGACGGAGAGGGAAACATGACCCTGGATGACTTCCTGGATATGTTCTCCGTGCTGAGTGAGATGGCTCCACGAGACCTGAAGGCCTACTACGCATTTAAAATCTACGGTTAGTGTGTGAGATGTGTACGCCTTTAATAAGATCTATTGTCAGCGGGTCAGAAATACTTCTGGTTTGCTCTCAAAGCAGGTTTGGTTATGTGAAATAATCTTCCCAGCAAGAAATAATATAATTTTACATAATCAGCACCTTGATGTTCCATTTATAATAATATGCCATTTAGCAGACGCTTTTATCCAAAGCGACCTACAGGCACGTGCGCATACATTTTTACGTATGGGTGGTCCCGGGGATCGAACCCACTACCCTGGCGTTACAAGCGCCATGCTCTACCAACTGAGCTACAGAGGACCACATTTCCTTAAATATTTCCTTAAACAATAACACAAAAGCACAACATGAGTTTCAATTCGGCTAATCTATATTCACATGTTCTTATTTAGCAGTAACATGTATGGGTCTCTGTCTGAGCCATCTAGCAGTAACATGTACGGGTCTCTGTCTGAGCCATCTAGCAGTAACATGTATGGGTCTCTGTCTGAGCCATCTAGCAGTAACATGTAAGGGTCTCTGTCTGAGCCATCTAGCAGTAACATGTACGGGTCTCTGTCTGAGCCATCTAGCAGTAACATGTATGGGTCTCTGTCTGAGCCATCTAGCAGTAACATGTATGGGTCTCTGTTCTGAGCCATCTAGCAGTAACATGTATGGGTCTCTGTCTGAGCCATCTAGCAGTAACATGTATGGGTCTCTGTCTGAGCCATCTAGCAGTAACATGTATGGGTCTCTGTCTGAGCCATCTAGCAGTAACATGTACGGGTCTCTGTCTGAGCCATCTAGCAGTAACATGTACGGGTCTCTGTCTGAGCCATCTAGCAGTAACATGTATGGGTCTCTGTCTGAGCCATCTAGCAGTAACATGTATGGGTCTCTGTCTGAGCCATCTAGCAGTAACATGTATGGGTCTCTGTCTGAGCCATCTAGCAGTAACATGTACGGGTCTCTGTCTGAGCCATCTAGCAGGAGTAGTATAATAACCACGCTCGGAGGACTCGAGGGCTGTGAATGATTGATAAGGGCATTGTAGAGGGGCCCAGACAGGCTGCATGGACGGGGCCAGCCTGTACTAAAAAGGCCTTGCATGGTCAGTGGTGCTAGAGTCCCCCTAATTAACCGGCGATGACAGATGAAGATGTTTCACCGCAGGCGGCGACGCAGAGACACGACCACGTCACGGTTCAAGAAAACGCAAAGGAAGGCTATGTTCAGAATGGCTTAGTTACAGGACAGAAAGAACATGTCTGCTTCCCGAATGACACCCTATTCCCTATAGTACACTACTTTTGACCAGGGACCAAAGTAAGCTGTAAACTAAAAGAGGGAAATTTGAACTTTAACCTTTAACTGATCATTTGAATAAAAACAACCTACTACTCTTTCTGTTACTCCTCCAATCCTCTCAGACTTCAACAATGATGACTTCCTGTGTAAGTCTGACCTGGAGAAGACGCTGAACAAGCTGACGCGGAACGAGCTGACGGAGGACGAGGTCAGGATGGTATGTGAGAAGGTGATCGACGAGACCGACCTGGACAACGATGGACGTCTCTCACTAGAGGACTTCCAGCACATGATCGTCCGTGCTCCAGACTTCCTCAGGTCTGTGACCTGACAAGGGAAAACTTAAACGTTAAACTTGATTTGCAGTGGTTGTAACCTGACCAATGGCCAAGCGTTTTTCCTAGTCAGTTCTTATTAAAACTTTAATTTAGCCAAATAACTGGGAACTCAGAAAAGAACGAGCTCAGACTGGGAAGCTCCTGACGTCAGTGATCTTTAGGTGGGAGAAGTCGGAGCTCTAGGATGATGTCAGAGTTTCCGACTTGTAAATTCTGAGTTGGATGACTGTTCAAAACACATTTTCCCCAGTTGGGTGTTGTCTTGAACGCACTGAAGTCAAAGGTTTCCCAGTTCTGAGTTGTCTTGAACGTACTGAAGTAGGAGGTTTCCCAGTTCTGTGTTGTCTTGAACGCAGCATAACTAATTCAGAACAAATTCTAACACATTTACTTTTTTTTCCACAGCACTTTCCATATAAGGATATGAAGACTAATGAGGACACTGGACACTACGATCTTCTACCTTGGATCCAAACATTTTCTCTACCAAAGATGTTATAGGGACCTTTAAAGTGTGCACTATGCAGGCTTAGTCTAGTTGTTTTTAACTCTGATGTAGGCCGGAGCCAGCCCACTGACCTGTTGACAGCTGAATAGTCTATTATTACAGAGTTACCGTAGCTATCAGGACAGGGCTCATTAGCTATGACGGCCAACAGTAGATTTGTATTCTCATCTATGAAGGCTCAGTTACACCAGGCTATAAAATAAACATCTGCCGCCATATTTCACTGAACCATGGAGGGGCAATGGAGGGTGAGGCAACTGTGTCATGGACGAATTAACTCTCCATTTTAAACTCATGGGTTCAGCTAACAGTCAATTGTCCTTAATCATTCTGGATACATTCATACAATCTGTCATTTAAAAGGGGCAATCTGGAATTCAAACAACAACAAAGCAGTCGGTCACCCCAACTCTTTTTAGTAAACAGCTGAGGGATGGGGCTGGAGAAATGTAACCACTCAAATTCATAGATGGAGCTATGGATGCGAGGACTGACCATCCATGAGATCAAAATGATAGTTTCAAGCAATACCGTGTTTGTTTACAACAACAAAAAAGGTAAAACAAGCACGTATTTGGGGTTCTGTATAAAAAAAATTAAAAATAAAATATGTATTCACTAACTGTAAGTCGCTCTGGATAAGAGCGTCTGCTAAATGACGTAAAGGCCCAGTGCACTACTTTTGTGATAAAAAAAAAAAAAAACTCAATGTATTTGAGTGTTTACCAGCATTTGTAACTTCAGTCTGATAATTATCTGTACAAAACAGTTAATCTGATAATAATTGTTGGATATAACAATACTTACTTGATATATGTTTTCCAGTATCTTGAAATACTTTCCAAATGCAACGTATTTCTATGTGAAAACTGAAATGGTCTATTCATTCCTTTTAAGTAGACGCTCTTATCCAGAGCAACTTCCAGTAGCGAGTGCATACATTTTCGTACTGGTCCCCCGTGGGAATCGAAACCCACAACCCTAGCATTGCAAGCACCATGCTCTACCAACTGACCCACATCATCACAAACCCCTTAATGTCTCAATGTACTCAATTACTGTATTGTGCATTGTTCTTCTTCATGTTGATGGAAAGTCTACAGGTACAAACCTAGATGACCAGCCTATGTACAATACAGTAATGTGCATTTGTAAGGATGGTCAATTAATACTGCACAAGAAGTGTTTGTTTTCCATGTTATTTAATTATGAAAAATATTTAATTTGTTGTGGATGTTTTGTGTCTTTGCCCATAACTTTGCACCTTTTGATGGACAGGGTTTAGTTCTTTATTGGATTCCATTAGAATGACAATCCCAGATAAAGGGACAGGACAACTCTTACAATTCCAACTACTGAATCCTGCAAGATACTATTCTTAATTATACACCTACCCTTTTTGCCAAAGCTGAGATGCTGACAAAAGAAAATGCCCACCCTACAGACGTCCATCTTGGTCTGCTAATACTAGTAAAGGCCCAGTGCACAAATGTTGTGAGAAAAAAAAAAGATATACACTACCAGTCAAAAGTTTGGACACACCTACTCCTTCAAGGGTTTTTCTTTATTTTTTACATTGTAGAATAATAGTGAAGATATCAAAACTATGAAATAACACATATGGAATCACGTAGCAACCAAAAAAGTGTTAAACAAATATATTTTATAAAATTATTTTACCAAATAGGGCTATCTTCTGTATACCCCCCCCCCTACCTTGTCACAACACAACTGATCGGCTCAAACGCATTAAGAAGGAAAGAAATTCTACAAATTAACTTTTAAGAAGGCACCTCTGTTAATTGGAAATGCATTCCAGGTGACTACCTCATGAAGCTGGTTGAGAGAATGCCAAGAGTGTGCAAAGCTGTCATCACACTTTTTTGGTTACTACATGTTTTATTTAATAGTTTTGATGTCTTCACTATTATTCTACAATGTAGAAAATAGTTGTAAAACAATAAAGAAAAACCCTTGAATGAGTAGGTGTGTCTAAACTTTTGACTGGTACTGTATATAACAAAACAATGTTTTTATTAATAAAACATTTTATTCTGATTACTCAGGGGGTGCTGCACCCTGCCTCCCGCGGCTATGCTCCTGTCTACCAATCTTATCTTCAGTATCAAACACCTGGCATATCATTGCATTGAATGTACCAAAATTATTAAAAAAAATATTCTCTATAACTTACTAATGTTCTTGGCTCAATGCAAGACAAACTCCATACTCTTTCTTTAAGAGTGCTATCGAATTTCACATCAAGAAATGTGTTTTTAAACAAAGAATGTATGAATTGTGTGCTGGCAACCATTTCACAGATTTTTAACTCTCAAAATAACAATGAAAGTAAACAAATACACAAAAAATGCAGAGGTCCAAATGCCATAATGCATAGCTCCAAATCTCTGTGTCTACTCTCCTACCAACTGCTTTTGGAATTGTCATGTCAAAACGGTTGCAATGGCTTGACAATAACCATGTTTGCATCCAACCTTTTTATGCGAGAAAAGTACACGTCAGATAAGAAATGTCATGACAGGCCTGATGGAAACAGAACATTTTTAAGTAAACTTTACAAAATGTCAACAAAACAAAGTATGCTAGAGAAGGTGGGATCTTTATGTGTCTGTAAAATTAATGATGAACTTCACAGGGTGGTGAAAGTGCATGGTGATGAGTTTGATGCTCCTTTCCAATAAATACCGAGGGCCTTATTCTAGTGACATGGCCACCCGATGCTTGGCTGCCGTTGGACAAATAATCTCATCAGCACGCTATACAACGCAACATTTTTAGTGAGAAAACCATCAGCAGAGCTGAAAATGGAAACCAATTTCACTTGTATTTTTTTTTATTCGGCACATGGGAATTTAACCGCAAAGGGTATTTTTATGTGCACTACGTCATCACACACAGTCTTTTAGGAACAATTCAATTGGATGGAAACAGCTCTGGTGGGGGAAATGCGCGTACTGTTTTTATGCAGACAGATTCTACAACATTCGCATAAAAATGTGCCCCCAATTGGATGGAAAACTAGCTAGTGACAGCAATGGAGTCGGAAAGAGCACAAACTGATATGGGACCAGGCTAGGTCCAAACCGGAAGAGTATTAGTTATTATTAAGACGTGTTTGAGAGGAGGATGCAACAGCAGATCCCAGAACAGTAGAAGTAGATATAGAAAATATGCAGGCTAGTTTAAAGGACACCCCCCTGTCAATGTTGTGCATGTTCTATCGTTTTTTGCCTGGTCCCAGATCTGTTTGTTCCCCTGCCAACTTCACCGCTGTCATTGTGAAGCTAAACATGACAATGAGCGACAAAGGAGTTGGCATTACAGCACAAACAGACTGGCACACAGACTCTATTTACTCATCCAAAACACAGACATTTAAAAAGAACAGGAAGGGACAAACTGGGAAATGTTGGGGTAAGAGGACTCAAATGGTTAAATACTGCATCAATGTAGAACACAAGCAACGCTTGGTGTGTATCACATGTACAGACCGTTTCATCCAAGCGTTTCCAAAACATAGCCAAAATATCACACTGTTTTTCAATGGATTTTTTCAATTAAATTCATACTAAGGAGATTTCTTTCTACGCATTATTCCAACGTTATAACTTGATTAAGTTTTTTGACTGGTTTTAGCTTGACTTCATAAGCCAAGAGAACTTCACCTTTAGAGTATACTAAAAATTTGTCAGGGCAGTAGCATACAACTTAAACCATTTAACTAACAAGACTCCAGGACCTGTATTCATAAAAGCGTCTCAGAGTAGGATGCTGATCTACGATCCGTTTTGGTTTTTAATTCATAATGAATAAGAGGACCTGATCCTAGATCAGCATTAATATTCAGAGACATTTGTGAACACAAGTCATATCAGAAGTAGCAAAGGAGAGGAAGCCATTTAATAAAGGCGTAGTACAGGTGTAATAAATGTGATCTAAGGATCTACCAACCATTACCATCATCCAACAGATCATAAACGTCATTCAATTACACTGAAAAAATATGCTTGCCCTATATTGCGAAACTATCACTTGGCACAGACTACACACAACACACAGGTTTACTGGTAAAGTGCAAGGGATGGATTGCATTGGATCAGAAGGGATTTGTCTGTCCACATTGTTAGGTGTTTGTTTGTACTAACTCCAGTTTAAGAGTGAATGGCTGAGTGTTTCACTAGCTGCTACCAGAGACGTCATATAGCTGGGAATAAACATGAGCTTATAAATGGATGTTGTTGCTGTGACTTGACTGAAGAGAAATACACTATCGCTGCTTTTGAAATGGCACCCTGATCCCTATACAGTGCCCTAGATTTGACCAGGTCCCATAGGGCTCTGGTCATAAGTAATGCACTAGTGAATGGCATGCCATTTCAGACACTACTTATCAGTCTGTCTCTCCACTACCAGGAACCAACTCTCTGGTTGGCTACGTGTCAACGCTCTATTGGCCTCAAACTCGACTCTGGACCTGGAAGCCAGTTCCACTGCATTTGTTCATTGTTCCCCTCTTATCAGGGACTGATTTAGACCTGGGATACCAGGTGGGTGCAATTAATTATCAGGTAGAACAGAAAACCAGCAGGCACCGTCCCTCGTAGGGTAAGAGTTGAACACCCCTGCTATTGGGTCACATTTCGACAGATTTCACACAACAATGTTCTAGAGTAGAAAACAGAACTCTAGAGCTGGAATGTAGCCCCAGGCCTTGTTTTAAGAGGCTGTGTGTTAAGAGCATTGCCGTGGGAAGCGAATACAGAACTATTAAAGACCCAGTGCACTACGATTTATCAGGGGGTACTGCAGCACTCTCAGAACCTCTACTTCCTGCTGCTGCAGTTAACAGGCAGTGGGTTAAGAGGCGGTGTGTGTGAGTGGGCAGGGATGGAAATTATGCCATGTGTTTGTGTGTGTTCTCATGCCTAAAAAGACAACACCCGGGACTGACAGTAAACAAGTCAAACAACACTTTGTACAAGAACTTCGTTCAGGAAAAGAGGCCTGTTGCAAGCCTCTCATGTATAGAGTAGCATTACATGATTATCTTGGAATGTAAACAAAACGGAATATCATTCAAAGTGTTTTCTTTTAGTCTGCGTAATTAAATTATTTCGCGATCACTCTTTCCTGAAGGATTGTGAATCTTCAAGGCATATTACATTCATGTAAAAACTCAATCAATAAGCCTATCAGTCTCTGGCTCATGTTAACAATGTGGCTAGGAGAAGAGAGGACTACAAATAGTATCTAAACATCCACGCATCATGTTCCCAATCTCAAACCTTTGGGTCATTCAAGCGATTCTAACTGGAAAGTAAATGGGGCTCCAACTTTGGCAGTTGTGGATCCCGGCGGCTGCGTGTGAAAAATGGAAACCGTTGTATGTACATAGAGACTAATGTGAGACAGAAAGAAGAGGTCATATGTTCTGTGTGACATGTCATTTGAACCTTCTTTAGAAAAACGAGAGGTGTTTTCACCGGTTGGTCAGTCTGTCCGACCCGCGGTGAGAGAAAACAGGAGGTTGGTGGGCCGCTGGAAGAACAGCTGCATTACCAGGTGTCATGGGGCCGTTGTGTATGGAGACGTGGTCACAGTACTCCAGCTACCCCAGGGTGTGACGTTGGGAGAGGAGGACAGGGAGCGAGAGAGGCAACTTGTCCCAATTACCATTGGCCCTAAGCCTTCAATGGTCACGTACAGTGAGCTCCAAAAGTATTGGGACAGTGACACATTTTTGGATGTTTAGGCTTTGTACTCCAGTGCAGACAGTGGGCTTTAATTTAAGGGTATTTTCATCGATGTTGGGTGAACCATTTAGAAATTACAGCACTTTTGGCACATAGTCTCGCCCCCATTTTAGGGGACACAAATGTATTGGGACAAATTCACTTACATGTGTATTAAAGTATTTAAAAGTTAAGCATTTGGTCACATATTCATAGCACACAATGACTACATCAAGCTTGTGATTCTACAAATTTGTTGGATGCATTTGCTGTTTGTATTGTGTTAGAGTCACTTTTATTGTAAATAATAATATAATGATTCTTAACACTTCTACATTAAATGTGGATGTTACCATGATTACGGATAATCCTGAATGAATCGTGAATAATGAGCGGAAAAAATGACAGACGCACAAATATCCAAAGTGCTGGAGTACAGAGCCAAAACAAGCCAAAATGTGTCACTGTCCTAATACTGTTGTAGCTCCCTGTATATGCAACGTGTAAACAATATGGTGGAAGCTCCACCACTACACTGCATATACCTATTCAAACACTTCAGATACACAAACATCTAAGGGTTAGGGCCAAGGGGAAGAGGTAGGGAGTGAATTGGGACTGGCTGAAGGGAAGAAGGAGAGGGGGTGCTGGCAGCAAGCACAGTCCAGTTGTGTCCAGCCAGCCAGCACCCCAGCGTGTCCCAGCCAGGGCAGGGCTGGCGGACGGTAGGTAAGGCCGTTGGTATGCATCCCAAATGGCACCCTATTCCCCTACACAGTGCACTACTTTTTACTAGAGCTCTATGGGGCCTGGTCAAATGTAGTACACTATATATGGAATAGTGTGCCATTTGGGATACACCCTTGGTCTGGTCCTCACAGTAGGACACAGCGGAAGAAGCTGCTCTTCTTCTGGGGCTGAGAGATCTTCACCTTGTGGCTGCTCCCCTGGGGACTGCTGCCCTCCTAGAACAAATTTAAAATTTAAATGTCCAGCATTTTGACCTTTTTAAAGTTCCTTCTTAAAACCTAAATACTTTTTTTTTTACAAGGAGGAGAAAGGGAGGGTGAACTTACTAATTTTGTGTCCATCTTTGATTTGATGTCTCTGGCAAGTGTCAAAAACGAGTTTTCCACATTGATATTGGCCTTTGCACTGGTCTCCATGAACTTGATACCGTACTCCAGCGCCAGCTGAGAAAAGAGGAGAGTAATGCTTTGACTCTGCTGTTACTAGCATCATTTCTACACAGTTTCTATCTGTTTTTGGTCATTCAAGCAGTTGTTTTTGTTGTTGCTTTTCACCTAGACAACATGGCAGGCCGTAAGTTTGAAATGTGCTCTACATCATCCAAGCCCTTTAAGGTTGTACAGTACACAACCAGAACGGAGCGTGTGATTCATCACACGATTGCAGCAGAACTCACCTTCTCTCCCCTGTCTTTGGACACCTGCCGTTTGTCGTTGATGTCACATTTGTTACCAAGGACCATCTTCTCAACATCAGCCGATGCATGCTAAGGAGGAGATGAGAGGGGTTTAACACTACAATACACACAGTATAATACATACGGTTGGGTTTGACAAGAGTACACTGAATATTTACTAGTCAGTCAGTATAGGGGTCGCGTTTAGAATATAATAAAATAGAACTTTCAGCAAACATACCTCCTCTATGTTCCGTATCCAGTTCTTGATGTTTTCGAAGGACTTCTCGTTGGTGATGTCGTAGACTAGCATGATACCCTGTGATGACAAACAATGAAACGTCAAAGACAGAACGCAACCAGGAAGTCAACACCTCGACGTTGTGATGAAGAAGATGACATACACATAACAAATTAAGAAAACTTAACAAGCATTTTGTTTACCCACCATCGCGCCTCTGTAGTACGCTGTTGTGATTGTTCGAAATCGCTCCTGCCCTGCTGTGTCCCTGCAAAAACACATGGACAACAGTTAGGCCTGGCCAAGTGACGTAGACAGTCATAGGTTTCCTTTCTAATAGTTACCTAGCTATAACTGCAAGGCGAACTGCTTTGGGTGCCTGCCTACCCCTTTTCTTTACTGTATGAAAAGCAGTCCTGATGCTCAAGGTGAAGTGGAGGAAAAAGGGCTTACCATATCTGTAACTTTATCTTCTTGCCGTCTAGTTCTATTGTTCTAATCTTAAAGTCAATGCCTACAGGAGAAGAATAAGAGAAGAGGGAATCTTGAAATTAGACACCTAGCCATTACACACAACAGCTATGACTGTAGCGCTAGTTATAACCCAATCAATGCAATACAAATGTAAAAGGTGAATGTTAATATGTGGCATCAATAATTAGCTGCCAGGCTAACAAGCTCTAAAGCTAACTAGCGAGTTAGTTAAATAAGGTTAGCAAAATTTATTGTACACAGTTATGAACATAGCTAGTTAACGTTACCGTTAATAACGGTAGCCAGAGCATGTAGCTAACGTTAGCTAGTTAACATACAGTTGCACTTTATCGTTTGGATTTCAGCTGCGAGTTAGACAGGGGTACGCAACGTTCGCTAGTAGGGCTAACTGTTAGCTAGTAAGCTACAGGAAGTTAGAATGCTAGCCTGTTGGCTATCTACCTAGCTAGCATTAGCTATATAGCTAGCTAAAATGTTCGTATAAGCTACACAGCTAATGCCAATGCCATTGTTACTTGTCACCTAGTTAATATAATGCAATAAGGTTGTAGCTAGCTAATCAGCAAGCTAACTTCATTTAGTCAGTTACTTAATCAATTTCGGCTTTAAGCTACCGTTAACTGGTTAGCTAACAACAGCATAGTAGCTAGCTGCTTTCTGGTCGGGATGACTGTCGTTTGTAAACATCGCATTGTGGCTAACCAAAGTCACACCTACCTATGGTGGAGATGAATGTTGAGTTAAAGGCATCCTCTGAGAACCTGAACAACACGCAGGTCTTCCCGACACCTGAGTCTCCGATTAGCAGCAACTTAAACAAATAATCGTATGTCTTCGCCATCCTTGATATTGCGGAAATCCCGCCCGGCGAAAAGCTGAGCGCTTCAGCGTAGTTACAGCATAGCAACGCCCCCTTCTGTCACGTTTGACCTTAACCCTCCTCGATTGGCCAGTATCCAAATAAAAAATCTAAATAACAATTATGATTGAATGGTTAATTCAACGTTTATCACACCTACCAGCAAACATAACATTGCGATGTAACATAAATATGTGTGAATTATTTTAATCAAACCACAATTGCTGATTTATCACACAAACTGTCCACAGACAGACACGTGCGTGCGCACACATGCAGCTATGTCTTACTATACTCGTGAGTACTTTTGGGGGACCAACAATTGATTCCCATTCAAAAGCCTATTTTCCTGACCCCTAACCATAAAACTGCCTTTTCACAAGTGAGGCCCAGCAAAATGTCCTCACTTCTCTGAATTTTTGTTTGTAAAACGTGCACAAACACACACAAATTAAAAGTTGTATTATATCTATATTTTTTTATTGCTAACCACAGACGTTTCAACCCCAAAAATGTTTTTGCAGAATATGTCAGTGAAACAAATGGTCCATTGTAGCTATAGAGCTGATACAAGCATTACTGGATAGAGTCAGAGAGGAATGTTTACTAGTGTTTTGGTATCCAGCTACAGCTGTCAGTACATGCTCATTGTATTTATGAACTGTACTCATGACATACACTAGGAAAGGACATAAAAACATAAAATATAAAATGTATTTGGAAGTATATTAAAAAGAGAATGAAAAACAAGAATTACAAATAGCTGTAGGAAAGCACAACATGTATTTTCACGATTGAGACCTAAAACTGGACATGCCATTAGAAATGTGGCGTTAAAATCATGGAATGTTGATTCTTCATCTTTGGTTTCTAATTACACTGAAATTCTTTACAAACTATTCAGCTCTATCAGTGTTTGGTCCAGGACTTGATGCATATCCAAGTTTTCTTCTTTTGCACTGGATAAGTGTTCTGTAATAAAAAGTAGTAATATTCAAACTTGAGAAATTCGGTCCCCTTTGATATCTCTTTATGAGATTTGCTGGGACACAGACATTGCGAAGACAAAACGTGTTATGACTGCATCTGTAAACTGTTTGGTTGTTCTTTAGTTGATAGTTATACATGTTCAAATCAATAAGAAATATTGATTAGCAGAAAAGGACAGGATAAAGGCAGTAAAGTCGAGGTAGCAGATCTGCAAAGTAAGGACTCAAGGAGAGGAAGCGCAAAGAACAGGTCGAATTTTATTGAAACTTTGATTTTACAGAAAAGGTCTCACAACAAGACAGAAAAGGCACGAAGAGAAGAGAAAAGAAGAGAATGGAATAGAAGAGAAGAGAAGAGAAGAGAAGAGAAGAGAAGTGAAGAGAAAGAAAGAAGAGAGAGAATAGAAGAGAAGAGAAAGAAGAGAAGACAGGAAGAAGAGAATAGAGAGATAGAAGAGAAGAGAAGAGAAGAGAAGACCGGATAAGAGAAGACAGGATACTATAATAAATATACGAGAAGAGAGAGTCCATCCAGTATAAATAATACTCCCCAATCTCAGCTACGCACATCCTCTACTCTCCTCCTCTCCCTCTCAGCTCCTCTCCTCTCTCTCCTCTCCTCTCCCCTCCCTCTCCCTCTCCTCTCGTCTCAGAGAAGAGAAACAGGAGAAGAGAAGAGAAAGGTGAAGCGTCCCATTTCGAATGGGCATAAGTGTTGAAAGGTAAAAGGCAATCTATATGGCGGTCATGTCAGTGAGGGCGTGGTCCAGCTCCTCACTGATGGCCTTGTACTTCAGCTTCTGAGAGTACAGTTCATCTAGAGGTCAGCAGGTCAGAGGAAATGAGCAGGCGTTGCAGAATGCAGCAGGGTCACAAGAGCAGAGAGAACAGTACAGAGACCATAGAGGGAAGGGGGAGGGAGAGAGAGAGAGAGAGGGGGGAGGGAGAGAGAGAGAGAGAGGGGGGAGGGAGAGAGAGAGAGAGAGAGAGAGAGAGAGAGAGAGGGGGGGGAGGGAGAGACAGAGAAAGAGGGAGAGAGAGGGGGGAGGGAGAGAGAGGGGGAGGGAGAGACAGAAAGAGGGAGAGAGAGAGAGGGGGGAGGGAGAGAGAGGGGGGAGGGAGAGACAGAGAAAGATGTAGAGAGAGAGGGGGGAGGGAGGGAGAGAGAAAGAGAAAGAGGGAAATTGCGAGATTAGGGTCAAAGAATGATACAGCAGTAGACAGATAAAAAGAGAGTCTAGAGATCAGTGTCGAAATAAAGATGTGTACTATGCTCTGAGGAACATCAGTGTGCAGAGACATAGAAAGCCATGAAATGCACTGTGTGTGAACTATACCTTCTAAGTCATCAATGGTCTTTTCCAGTTTAGCCACCGATCTCTCTGCAAACTCAGCACGAGTCTCAGCCTAGAGAGGACAGACAGAGGACCGGTTATAGCCAGTAACGACAGATATCCTCTTACACACTATATGTGTGAAATAGGACAAATATACACTGAGTATACCAAACATTAAGAACACCTTCCTAATATTGAGTTGCACCTCACCCCCCCCCCCCCCCCCCCCCCCCCCCCCCTTCCCCCTTTGCCCTCAGAACAGCCTCAATTCGTTAGGGGCATGGACTCTACAAGGTGTCGAAAGCGTTCCACAGGGATGCTGGCCCATGTTGACTCCACAGTTGTTTCAGTTGGCTGGATTTCCTTTGGATGGTGGGCCATTCTTGATACACACAGGAAACTGTTGAGCCTGGAAAACCCAGCAGCGTTGCAGTTCTTGACACAAACCGGTGTGCCTGGCACCTACTATCATACCTCGTTCAAAGGCACTTAATTTGTTTGTCTTGCCCATTCACCCTCTGAATGGCACACATACACAATCCACGTTTCAATTGTCTCAAGGCTTACAAATCCTTCTTTAACCTGGTCTCCTCCCCAACCAGCTCTCACAGTCTCACATCAGAATTAGACGTTCATCCATGTTTCTCAAACGTCAAATTTCTAAGTTGTTTCAAACGTCAAATTTCGAAGGTTAAGTTTAGCCATTAACTCCAAATTAACTCCAAAGGTTAACTCCGAATGGTCAAAAACAACTTTCTATCACTGGAATCAAATTTGTAACCTTTGGAATCAGAGGTAGATGCTTAGGCCCATCCACCATCCCCGTCCATAACACCCTAGCAAAACCAAAACCTACTTGAAGGTAACAGCGCTCACTGTTGCCCCTAGTGGTCGGTTTCCACGTAATCTCCCGACATCCTCAGACATGGATGGACGTCGAATAATGACTTGTATCACGGGTGACCTGGCTGCTCCTCCACTTCATCTACACTGATCGAAGTGGATTTAACAACTGACATCAATAAGGCATCATAGCTTTCACCTGGATTCACCTGGTTATGGAAAGAGCAATGTTTTGTATACTCGGTGTAAGCACCCACCCACAGGGCTTGTAGTGTGTATAAAGGCGTCCGCATGCTTCCCATCCGAAACAGCTCGGAACAGTTTCTGCACATATTATTTGACAACGTTTTCGTTCGTTTTGGTCTTCTGCTGCACACACAAAAAATACTAGAGGCAAGCCGAAGTTCGGGAGCCGAAGTCTACGCCCCTTCGCCGGGTCATTGGTCAACAGTAGGGAAGTCTCCGCCCCATCGTCGGGTAATTGGTCAACAGTAGGGAAGTCTCCGCCCCTTCGTCGGGTCATTGGTCAACAGTAGGGATTCTTCAATGAAATGTCTGTTGTCCTTCAATGATAGACGACTTGTTTTCATTTACATTTTTTCACTGAGAAATACTGCACCAAAACATCTTAATTAGATGTAAAACTAAGACGTCAAAATTAAAGACAGATTTCTTGAGCTATCTTCGATTAATTTGGACTACGGTGTTTCAAGATGGACAAACAGTACTATTGCCGCTTTTTTTCTATAGACAGAGAGCTGTCCTCACCTCTTTCAGTTTGTCACTCAGCACTTTGATTTCGTCCTCATACTTGTCTTCTTTTTCTGAATACTGCAGAGACAAAACAACATATTTATTAATGGAACTAACGTTACGTGTCATTAATATTATTCAGTGGCAGATTTCAGAGCTGACATTTTGCAAAGGTATCGTTCAGAGAGGGTACGAAGAAACAGAACAAAATGGTGGCAGAGGACACTCACCTTAACAGACTGAGCCTCTAGGGACTTGAGGTTGTTGGTTACATTTTTCAGTTCTTCCTCCAGTTCACTACATTTACTGTAGAGGAGGACAGAGGGAATCAACTTAAATCAACAAGGCAATCTTGGCCCAAGGTTGATTTGACACTCTAGCTAGTAAAAGCATTATAACACAAGATGTCTGACCAGGGCCAGCACCAGAACGAATCAGTTGGCCAGGCATTTGATTTCCGTTGGGGGGCACGTTTTTTTCCATGGGACCTCCTACACATTTTTTAAATGGGTTTTATAGTAAAGACATGTCATTTGACATGCCATACTATTTATGGCCAGACAGCATCAGATACATGGGCTATACATACTGAGACAGAGGGGCGCTGTTTCGCTTGCTCAGATGCTTTATTTGAGATTGATCTGTTCTCGGTCAAATAAATGATCAATATTAAAATATTTTATTTGGACGGGCCAGGAGGTACGGTAGGGCGGGACAGGCCCCCTAAGGTCTGCCCACAACGCTGCCCTGTAGACTGACTAACATAGTTGACACACGTCTAGTGTGATGAGTGTGTATACTTACAGCTCAGAGATCTCCGCTCTCTCTTCTGCCCTCTCCAGTTCCCCTTCTAGGATGACCAGTTTACGAGCAACCTGAAACGGCACAACACAAACCATGGGTCAGAGGGGATCTCTTGGAGACTAAATTCAACATGAAATCAGTTATGGTGCCTCATTATATTGACTCATCTGAAAATGTATGATGTCATGAAAAGGGCCTGGAGGTCTTCCTGACCGCAACAACTAACCATGAAAAACTCTGGGTTAAACTGGTTATGACCAGCTATACTAGGGCCTTACAGATTAGACCCAGAGGTTTTTCTGGCCATGTGGTCAGGGGAAACTCCTGGCCCTAATAACAAACTATGCTGTGACTCCAGGGTGAAGTTTTCCCTGGGTACAGATTTAGGATCAGCTTCCCCTCCCCCAATCCTAACCTTACCCCTTTAGTGTGGAAAATGCAAAACAGACCCAATATCAGCATTTAGGGGCAACTTCACCTTACCATTCTGTGATTCTTACCTCCTCGTACTTCCTGTCAGCCTCCTCAGCGATGTGCTTGGCCTCCTTTAGCTGCATCTCCTGGATCTCCATCTTCTCCTCGTCCTTGGAGGCCCGGTTCTCTATCACCTTCATGCCTCTGGAGCAACGACAACACAGGGTTAGCTACAGTATAACCTACCGTATGTGAAGACTAAGGAAAATGGTAGATAGCTCTGTAAGCTCTGTGATTCCCATTATATCAAGAATAACTGTGTATAACTACAACCCCCCCCAACCCCCCCCTCCATACAGAGGAAATCAACAGTGTGGAGGCCACTTTCTCCTTGTTCCAAAAGAAACACCCATCCCTCCTATACCAGTCCATACTCATAGAAAACATGGATCCATAGAAAATCGCTATAGCGCTGTCCTATCTATATAATGACAGAGCAACTGGTGGGGCGTGGTGACTTGCTGTAGTCCTGATCTGACCTCTCGCTCTCGTCAGCAGCCTTCTCAGCCTCCTCTAGTTTCTGCAGGGCAGTAGCCAGCCTCTCCTGAGCCCTGTCCAACTCCTCCTCCACCAGCTGAATCCTACGGTTCAGAGCCGCCACATCACCCTCCGCCTGCAGGGGGCACAGATCACAGGTCAGGGGTCATGATAAAGGTCAGAGGAAACAGCCAAAAATAATAATACAATTAATTTAATAATTCCCAATAGTACAGAACAACAGGTGATGAGGTCCTCAACTCATACTGTGTGACAGAATAAAGGACTCCACAAGTGCTCATTCAGTAAAATAGGGGGAATCATGATGGGGGAGGTGAACCTTGATACATTGTACATGCTAGTGCAACGTACCCTCCTCAACAATGTACTGCAAACAGTCAGTCAGTCAATCAGTGTGGGTTGAATAGTTGGCTGTTTGGGATTGCTGCTTATCAGTCTGCTTCCTGTGAGACACCCATTGCAAGAGATAACCCTGACGTCTGTCTGTCTGTCTGCTTCTCTCCTGTCTGGTCTCTTCATTCAATAGGGGAAACTATCAATTAGGTTATGTAAAACAACCTCTGCTTAGGCTTGTCACATGCCTTGATTTCATAAAGTTGACTTGAATGGGATATCATTGTTAGCTATTCAATATAATACTATAGCGAATTAGGGGGGGGGGGGGGGGTAGCACCGACTGGGCCTCAAACCCCGGACCAGCGACTGTCAAGCCAACACCTTAACCGTTACGCCAAGAGGGCCGAACGCCTTGATGAGGTCTCTAGGTGTTGTGTTAAGGTCGCTACGTTACCCCCTTCCTTCAGGAGAGTGCGTCCCCACGCTTCTCTATACCAAGCCCCTCACGTGTACACGCCTCTCCGATGGCCACACGGGCGCCATCCCACTTCTGTAGCGAACCCGGGTCCAGCGACTGACTGTCAAGCCAACACCTTTATGCCAAGAGGTCCGAACCTCTTAACGAGATTGCTATGTGTTTGGTTAAGGTCGCTACAATACAATTAAAAGTAATCCAAAAATATTTTGTGGGAATTACATTTCAATGCACTTGACTTGACTATGGGAATGTATGGTTTCCCGACTGTCCCCTTCTCTTCACATCTCAATAGAAAATGTTCCTCCACTTCCAATGATCAACTGACATTACAACCAGAATCTGAATCAACTCAATACATGCTTCAGGTAGCGCATAGGGCGGAACACTAGGAAGCGCACAGCACTTACTTTTTAGTCGTTCTAATTTTAGACTACTTTAAATGAATTTTCTGCAAAAGAAGAACAGAGGAAGAACTAGAAGAAAAAGAACTTAGGCAAACAGTTAATGATTAAACTGTAGCCACAACATTCTCACGTTTTCGCGCAATTCCTGTTCATCGTCCAACTGTTTCTGTAAAAGTATCGTGTGATCTTCTGCATCGTCCGCTTGCTGTTGAAGCGCCTGAATTTTCCTTTTCACCGCGTCCAATGATCCACCTGTCATGTCGAACAAAGTGATCGATCTAGCCTACTAGATATACTGTAAATTGGATATAAAAACTAAAATAGGTTTAAGAAGTAGAGGGCCGGGAAAAGGGCTGGAGTTTTCAGCAAAGTTTTGTCTGAAATCCTCCAATCCTGAGAGGGAGCGGTCTCAAGATGACATCATGATTAGATTAACCAGAGGGAGGGAGGTTTTCCTGCATTAAAGTCTTGTTCTTTGTTCCATTGAGAGGGTGTGGGTTTATAGCTGGTTTTAATGTTTATGGTTTATAGCTTTCACTTCAGTTGCAATGCAAGGTGTGTGTAGGTGTATGGTCTGCAGTTTTATACACCGTGAACTGATTAGAGAGAGAGCGAGAGAGAGAGAGAGAGAGCGAGTATGACCGAGAGAGAGAGTATGATAGAGAGAGAGTGCGTGTGTGCAGGGCTGAGTTAATGCAGGGGCTTAACGGGGCTGAAGCCCCTGGGCCCAGGCCCCTAGGGGGGCCCAAGAGTCAGCAAAAAAGGAAAAGAAGAAAACAAAAATGATTAAGGAAATATATTGGGTAACTGATTAATACGAAATAAACTGCATAATAAATACATGTGACTGGTCAATTGTGTGAGTCAGGGGCTGGGCCAAAGCCTTTAGAGGTCCAAAGAGTAAAACATTATATGTTATTGTTATTATACTTTCTAAATGTTCAAAATACACCAGAAAGAATAATTTAGCAACAGAGGATCAATAGTTTATACAAAATAATTGTGGATTAAGTTTTATCACAAGCACATACAAGTATCTGCCAAAATGAAGGAAACACCCACATAACGTGTCTTAAAAGGGTGTTGCGCCACCACCAGCTGCCAGAACAGCTTCAATGCGCCTCGGCATAGATTCTACAAGTGGACCTAAACCATGCCAGGAAAATGCACCCCACACTATAACATATATACTAACTGTAAGTCGCTCTGGATAAGAGCGTCTGCTAAATGACTAAAATGTAAATATACTTTGTATTCCTTGTTTACTCAAGTGTTTCCTTTATTTTGGCAGTTACTGGTATGCCTACAGTTGGGAAGGCTGCAGTTTGGGCAGCATGTGCACCAAATATAGGCGACAGCTTGCTGCGGTCTGGCCATAGACATACAGTATAATCCATATAAAGGTTTTGTAACCTCTTACCCTGGCAATTTGACTGTTAAGTTCATTGGTACACTAGTAATGAATGCCGGTCCTGACTTGAATGGGGAACTGCCATCTATGGATTATATTTCTATGGATGGTTGCGGCTGTCGGTTTGCCTTTTTCAGATTTCAAAATACAATTTTCACTCCCAATTTGTAGCTAACAGCAGCACTGTTTTTCGAAGTAGCTCATTTTACATTTTAGTCATTTAGCAGACGCTCTTATCCAGAGCGACTTACAGTTAGTGAATACATTATTATTATTTTTTTATACTGGCCCCCCGTGGGAATCGAACCCACAACCCTGGCGTTGCAAACGCCATGCTCTATCAACTGAGCTACATCCCTGCCGGCCATTCCCTCCCCTACCCTGGACGACGCTGGGCCAATTGTGCGCCGCCCATGAGTCTCCCGGTCGCGGCCGGCTGCGACAGAGCCTGGATTCGAACCAGGATCTCTAGTGGCACAGCCTTAGACCACTGCGCCACTCAGGAGACAGCTCATCTTGTGACGAGCTCATCGGCCATCACTGTGATTAGCCTGTTGCTTCATCTTCATCATTAGGTGAGTCAGTGTGCCACTGGAAACTTTATGTAGTAGCCTACTGTAGCTTATGATATATATACTGCATCTAAACTGCCTCCTAATATTGTACACTCATTTCTATCAACTACAAAATAACCCTGGGGCCTATGATTTCTTCATCCGGCCCTGTGTGAGAGAGGTTCATACAAGTCCACAATAAAGTAGGCTCAATGGGCAAAGTAAACTTTCATATCTGTAAAAACAATCTTTATAACATGTATACTGGACAAAGAAATGGTTGGAATGTTAATTGATTTATTTGCTGAAATAACCTGCAGCCATTGGGCGGCGACACATTCCTCAGGCTAGTGTTTCCTATCTTTCTTTGTCCTTTTCCCCTGGAGTTGGATAAAGTAAAGTAAAAATAAAGTAACACAATAAAATAACAATAACGAGGCTATATACAGGGGGTACCGGTACCGAGTCAATGTGCGGGGGTACAGGTTAGTCAAGGTAATTGGGGTAAAGTGACTATGCATAGATAATAAACAGAGAGTAGCAGCAGCGTAAAAAAATGGGGAGTTAATGCAAATAGTCCGGGTAGCCATTTGATTAATTGTTCAGCAGTCTTATGGGCGAGAAGCTGTTAAGGAGCCTTTTGGACCTAGACTTGGCGCTCCGGTACCGCTTGCCGTGCGGTAGCAGAGAGAACAGTCTATGACTAGGGTGGCTGGAGTCTTTGACCTTTTTTAGGGCCTTCCTCTGACACCGCCTGGTATAGAGGTCCTGGATGGCAGGAAGCTTGGCCCCAGTGATGTACTGGACCATACGCATTACCCTCTGTAGCGTCTTGCGGTCGAATGCCGATCAGTTGCCATACCAGGCGGTGATGCAACCAGTCAGGATGCTCTCGATGGTGCAGCTGTATAACTTTTTGAGGATCTGATGACCCATGGTAAATCTTTTCAGTCTCCTGAGGTGGAATAGGCGTTGTCGTGCCCTCATCACGACTGTCTTGGTGTGTTTGGACCATGATCATTTCTTGGTGATGTGGACATCAAGGAACTTGAAGCTCTCGACCTTCTCCACTACAGCCCTGTCAATGTGAATGGGGGCGTGCTTGGACCTCCTTTTCCTGTAGTCCTCGATCAGCTCCTTTGTCTTGATCACGTTGAGGGAGAGGTTGTTGTCCTGGCACCACACTGCCAGGTCTCTGACCACCTCCCTATAGGCGGTCTCATCGTTGTTGGTGATCAGGCCTATCACCGTTGTGTCGTCGGCAAACTTAACGATGGTGTTGGAGTTGTGCTTGACCACGCAGTCGTGGGTGAACAGGGAGTACAGGAGGGGACTAAGCACACACCCCTGAGGGGCGAAATTAGCATTGACATGAAATCAGTCAATACACCTCAAAATAAGACATGGTATCAAAACCAAGATGAAACGAGCTGAAACACGCCACTTTCGATTCCCCACATGGCAGTTTCTTGTCATTCTTGCTAGCAATCTGGCCATCCATAATCACAACACGCTGACTTCTGCCCTATGGAAGCGCACACATCGTTTTCATGACGTTGACAGCTAACCCATCTATAAGGGACTTCATTTTCTGTATCTGTCTGTCTCTCTGTCTCTGATTGTTCCTGTGTCTGTCTGTCTGTCTGTCTGTGCCTGTTCCTGTGTCTGTCTGTCTGTCAGTGGCTTTGTGTCTCTATGTCTGAATGTGTGTGTGTCTGTCTCTCTTTCTTTCTTTGTCTGTAGCTGTGTCTGTAGCTGTGTTTGTAGCTGTGTCTGTAGCTGTGTTTGTAGCTGTGTTTGTAGCTGTGTTTGTAGCTGTGTCTGTAGCTGTGTTTGTAGCTGTGTCTGTAACTGTGTTTGTAACTGTGTCTGTAACCCTGTATGTAGCTGTAGCTGTGTTTGTAGCTGTGTCTGTAACTGTGTCTGTAACTGTGTCTGTAACTGTGTCTGTAACTCTGTATGTAGCTGTAGCTGTGTTTGTAGCTGTGTCTGTAACTGTGTCTGTAACTGTGTCTGTAACTGTGTCTGTAACTGTGTCTGTAACTATGTATGTAACTGTGTCTGTAACTGTGTCTGTAACTGTGTCTGTAACTGTGTCTGTAACTGTGGTAGTGTCTGTAACTGTGTATGTAACTGTGTCTGTAACTGTGTCTGTAACTGTGTCTGTAACTGTGTCTGTAACTGTGTCTGAGGTCTCCTCACCAGAAGCCTTTCCAGTAAAGTCTTCATTAGCCACAGCAGTGTGAGGTTCTCTGTTTGTTTTAGCTGCATTCCTCACATTCCTGTGTGGCTGCATATGGCTAGCGAAGCTGAGAGCTGAGACTGAGGATGTGTCCCAGATGGCACCCTAGTCCCTATGCAGTGCACTACTTTTGACCAGAGCCTAATGGGCCCAGGTGAAAAGTAGTGCACTTTATAGGGAATAGCAGCCCCTGAACCTTTGGTTCAGACCTGGGAGGGAGCGCTCCATGCTCTACAATGACCAGTAGATTAATGGAATTCAAGGTAGAGGTAGAGGTAGAGGACGGTCTGATGAAGGTCACATCCAACAAAACCTTTGTTACTAGTCTCATACCGTACCTCACCACACAGTAAATGCAATTTATAGCTTGCTCAGTGACTAACTTCTTTGTTTTTCTTGACTGTAACGCAGTTCAGTAGACGCTATCTTTGAGAAAACCTCATAGAGAGAAGCGGTTGACTTTGTTCATATATGGGAGTTAAGGTTGGAAAGTCACGTTGACTGTGCTTCATGATTTATTGGGTGTTTTCTGTTGATGAAAGAGACCATGCTGTGGTCTGAGGGAAGACAGTGGATGTGGTGTTGATGAAAGAGACCCTGCTGTGGTCTGAGGGAAGGCAATGGATGTTATTCCACATTTTCTTTTTCTGACCTCATCTCTGTAAATGGCCAGCAAAATAATGCTGTTTAATCTTGGGTCTTTTGATGACAGAACCAGACTAAATCAGAGTCTGTTCTCCAACGGTATTCAAAGATGTCTGAACGAACTTGCCAAGACCAACCAAGTTCTCTAAACCATGTGTGTGCACTGGTGCAATGCTTGACTGTACTGTGGTGGAATATGAAGGAAGGGGTCTTATTTCGTAACCTTGGATGTCATTTAGTCATTTAGCAGACGCTCTTATCCAGAGCAACTTACAGTTAGTGGATGCATACATGTATTTTTTATTTATTTGTATTTTATTTTTTCATACTGGCCCCCCGTGGGAAATGAACCCACATCCCTGCCGGCCAAACCCTCCCCTACCTTGGACGACGCTGGACCAATTGTGCGCCGCCCATGGGTCTCCCGGTTGCGGCCGGCTGCGACAGAGCCTGGACTCTAACCAGGATCTCTAGTGGCACAGCTAGCACTGCGATGCAGTGCCTTAAGATCACTGCGCCACTCGGGAGTCAAATATGATATGATACATTTAAAACATCTGTATGCATCTGAAGTAGGATTATTTGAGCGTGACAGTGACAACCCGGCAGTATCTCTAGTACTGTACTGTACTCACGTCAGTAGCCTTCGTCTCTGACAGCTCCAGTTTCTCCTGTGCATCCTTCAGAGCCTCAGAGTATTTATCCAGCTCATCTTCTGTCCCCTTCAGCTTCTTCTGCAGCCCCAGCAGTTCATCTTCCAACTGGGGCACACGGAGTCAGAGGGAAGCAAAGAATCAGGAAGGGTGTTCACATAGAAATATTTTATACAGCAGAAAGGGCAGACTAGAAGACAGAGTCAGGAAAGGTGTGACATCACAGAAATGCTTTCTGTCATACAGAATCATGTCAGCTCTATACAGGACAGATGTATATCTACAACATTGTGCCTCCACTGGGGAACTCAGGACAAAAGGCCTGCAAACTAAGAGAATGTCCGACCACTCAGTATTTTGGAGCTAGAAATGTAGAATATAATTGACTCCAACGTTGCATGGATATTGCTAATGTTTTTGGTGCTTGTTCTGAAGACTAGAAATGTATAAACTACTTGTTGTTGTTGGATTCAACCCTACTTGGTCCTGCAGTGCTTAATAGCCATTGACTGTGATCCCAGTAGATGGCAGAAGGATTCAAGTGTTCACTGCCCCGCTGGCCTTTGCCTCACAGGCTGCTGACAGGGCTCTGGTCAAATGTAGTGCACTAAATAGGGTGCCATTTGGGACAGGACTCTGGTCAAATGTAGTGCACTAAATAGGGTGCCATTTGGGACACAAACCCAGAGCCTCATAGCCAAGAATACCAGAGCGAAGCATCAACACTTATCACTGTTTAACTCTTATCCAACCAATTGTCTAAAGAGGTCCCACGTAATCCACCGTGATTCAGGCAAACTGCACTCTCCATGTCTAAAATGGCCGAGGGTATTATGGATAGTGCTACTGACGACTGCCTGCCACTACCGCGCCCACACTGACACACGTGGTTCTAAGAATGTTGTGTTGTTAGTTCGATTACATCCGAAATGGAAGCCTAATCCCTACGTAGTGCACTACTTTTGACCAATACCTATAGGGCTCTGGTCAAAAGTAGTGCACTATAAAGGGAATATCGTGCCATTTGGGACGCATGCTTAGTATCTCCTCTGGTATGTTCTTGAACTTTAGACAGATCAGACAGAGGAGTGGTGGTGAGTGGATCTGCACCCCAGAGCCCTGTAAAGTCACACCAAGTTGAGGAGTAGAGCGGCAGCTGGCACAGCTCGTTTTTTAAAAACTCCTGGTACCCCTGTTGTTCCTGTACAGGGCGGGGGCCGCTGGGCTACTCCTTCTGGTGCTCTGTGGCTCTCTAGGATCTATCTATGATCAGCCGTCATGCAGGCTGCTGCTGGATGCCAAATGGACATGGGGACCCCTATCCCCTTAGCCTGGAGATACAAAATGATTAGATCTGGTAGCTTTAATGATTCACCAAGCCTTCTGACGGTCTGCATGGGATTTGTTATTTTACATTGTAGTCATTTAGCAGACGCTCTTATCCAGAGCAACTTACAGTTATAATAATATGCCATTTAGCAGACGCTTTTATCCAAAGCGACATACAGTCATGTGCTCATACATTTTTACTTCCCGGGGATTGAACCAACTACCCTGGTGTTAGATGCGCAATGCTCTACCAATTGAGCTACAGAGGACCACAAGTTAGTGAGTGCATTACTTTTCATACTGGCCCCCCGTGGGAAACGAAACCCACAACCCTGGCGTTGCAAGCTCCATGCTCTACTAACTGAGCTACACGGGGCAATATTATCACATTGGAATATTCAACCATATTATCAGATAAGCTGGGTGGACTTTGGATCCTCTGTAGCTCAGCTGGTAGAGCGCAGAGCTTGTAACGCCAAGGTAGTGGGTTCGACAGCCCGGTAGGTTACGATGAAGGAAGGGGGGTTTGGGACGCACAAGAACTCACTCACTGCTCTTTTCCCTCTCTCCATCCCTCTCTCCCTGAGGGCTCCATCCCTCTCTCCATCTCTCGTCTCTCTCCATCTCTCTCTCCACCCCTCTCTCCCTGAGGGCTCCATCCCTCTCTCCATCTCTCTCTCCATCCCTCTCTCCATCCCTCTCTCCCTGAGGTCTCCATCCCTCTCTCCATCTCTCTCTCCATCTCTCTCTCCATCCCTCTCTCCATGAGGGCTCCATCCCTCTCTCCATCCCTCTCTCCATCCCTCTCTCCAACCCTCTCTCTATCTCTCTCTCCATCTCTCCCTCCATCCCTCTCTCCATCAGAGGAAAGGATAACTACCCTCAGTACAATCAGCTAGCTGTTCTATGTCTCAGAGCTCATTTCAATCAATCAGAAGCTCTTTTTCCTAGGACAAATTTTATTTAGCTTAAACTACTTTACTCTGTGAGGAGTATAGGTCATCCACAAATTTACTACATCACACTCTGCTTTGGGCTAGTTTCTCAAGTTCCTTCCATGAGAAGAACTGCATTTATTTATATCTCAAAAATGAAATTTATGATATATATATACAACATCTATTTACTACTTATAATTTCCACCTATGGGGTCTAATACATTGGATCTGCAATATGACATTCAATCACACAGCACAAGAGTAACAGCATCACGTTCATGACCAAGTACTTAAATATTAGTCTATATTACAATAGATAAAAATACATACATATCTTTTACCACTCTGTACAATTCATCACTTTTATCCATTAGCTGCTTTCTGCCTCCCCATCCTCACATCTTCCCTGTCTTTTTGGGGTTGAAAGATTCCACTAACTTTTCTCAAAATTCCCAGGTTTTCCCAGAAATCCCGGTTGGAATATTCCTGCAATCAGGAGAGAATAAGCAAGAAATCTGGGAATCCTACATCACAGGGTTCTAGAACACCTGGGAATTTTGGGAAAGTTACAGGAATTCTGCCACCCTCTTTACAATCCTTCCTTCACCATATACTCTTTCTCCACCTCTCAATAGCCTTCCCTCACCTGTTTGCATTTGTCCTCAGCAGATTTCTTGTCGGTCTCTGCCTGCTCCGCCCGGTCGATGGCGTTCTCTTTGTCTAGCTTCAGCATCTGCATCTTCTTCTTGATGGCCTCCATGGTGACGGTTGTTAGGGTTCAGTGGCTTCAGAAACTGGGGAAACTTTTCAAGTTTGGGACAGGGATGTCTAGTTAGACACTTAAAGACAAACCCTCTCACAGAGAGAGAGAGAGAGAGAGAGAGAGAGAGAGAGAGAGAGGGAGAGAGAGAGAGAGAGAGAGAGAGGAATTGAGAGAAAGAGAGAGAGAGACTAGTCCTTTCTAAGTTTCCAGGTCCACCAGAGCCAATACGCCAGCCGATGCAGAGAGAGGGAGAGCAGAGAGGGAGAGCAGAGGATGCAGACTGGAACCCAGGGCTGATATAAGTGATTTAAACCTGACTGGAGGTTTTGGAGAGACAGCCCCATGCAGTCCCCAGTGACGTACAGCACTACCCCGCCTTCCTCCACTCCCTCCCCAGCCTGGTTAGCTAGCTAACCTCAGCAGCCACAGTAACGCCCCTCTACCCCTCCCTCTCTGGTTTGAACCTCCCCACTCACTCCCTCCTAAGGCTTTCTTAAGAAGGTAACAGACTCTCTGGCCAATATTCACTCGCTCTCCTTATTTGGAAGCCTGTTTTCATTCTCATTTTTTTCCCTGACGGGACGGGAGGAAGGGAGAGACAAAGATCTTGACGCTTCTTTTTTTGTTGAAGCGTCATCATCACTACTGTGAGATAATGTACACCTGCCTGGAGAAGAAACTGTGGCACCACAAACACAGGGTACTATTCACAAAGAAATAACCGCTGATAGCTGTTCATAACAGATGAATGTTTGGTCTACGCACCACACACACGACAGGAATCTACAATTAGTAGTGTTTGTGTTCGTAAGGGTTTTCCCTTTTTATCAGAGAAATAACCGTAACGTAAGTTTCAGTCTCTGTCTGAACAACATTTTGGCTTGGGGATCTGTAAGCATTTTATTCAAGCCTTGGGTTCCTCCCTCACTGAGGAATGCTAAAATTGATGTTAATACCAGCGTTGGTTGGGGGAGACATAGTTATCATTCTACCGTGGATTGAAAAAGAGCCAGATGGAAAAAGACCCAGCCAAGGAAATGGGGTGGAATTTCTGTTTGTGTGCATATTATCATGAACAGGATTTACGTTCAAGGCTGTAAACTAAAACTCCAAATGAATACAATTACCCTACTTTATAATTAACATCTCTTTAATTACTGCTCGGTTGACAAACTTAAGTGTATGTTTTGAATATTTGCTGTATTCTTTTAGAAGAGCAACATCACTATTATAGTTTAGTTAGGTGATTTCTTCCTGTGTCTGAAAATGGGTTTGCAACTAACTAAGCAGGTGGCCACCGGCTGCTTTTAACCGTTCGTCGGCACGGCGATGTGATGTGCTGTAAAGGAAGTGTGATGATAGGTTGATTTCACCACACGTGACAGAAGGCAGCTGGGAGGTACTGTCTCTGATGACTAGGGCCAGAAAACCTCAGTCACCTGGGAGGTACTGTCTCTGATAACCAGGGCCAGAAAACCTCAGTCACCTGGGAGGTACTGTCTCTGATAACCAGGGCCAGAAAACCTCAGTCACCTGGGAGGTACTGTCTCTGATAACCAGGGCCAGAAAACCTCAGTCACCTGGGAGGTACTGTCTATGATGACTAGGGACAGAAAAACTCAGTCAGCTGGGAGCTACTGTCTCTGCACAGCAAGTCCCAATGCTGGAAGGGGGGCCCCGAGTGAAAAAGTTTGGGAACCCCTGCAGTAGAGCATGCTGGGAAATATGATAATGATGGGTGTGGTTTTGATGGGACTGTTTTACTCTCCACAGAATAAAACAGACACAATCACACTGGTTATTAACACTGGTTATTAACACTGGTTATTAACACTGGTTATTAACACCAACACTGGTTATTAACACCAACACTGGGATTACTTTACACCACTGAGGGTTAATTTCACTCTTAGAGAGTTAATTTAACATCTGACTAAAACTAAAACTCCAAATGAATACAGTTACCCTACTTGATAACTAAGATCTCTTTAATTACTGTTCGGTTGACGAACGTAAGTGTATGTTTTGAATATTTGCTGTATTTTTTTAGACTTCTGAATCAACACTATAAATGTTACAATGAAAAATCAACAGGTAACACTAGCCAATTTGCTGTGTGGACTAAGGCCAGAAAAACTCCTGGCTCTACTGGTGTCATTGATGCCTGATTCCCATTATTATCCCAAACCGGGCTGTTCTGGTTCAGATTTATTCGTTTCCCATTGTCCTTTCCAGTTGGTTCAAGCAGCTATAGTGGATGTGTAACCAGGCCAGCCTAGTACAGTTCGGCTTGGCTTGGCTCAGTTGGGGCTGACAGTGTGAGCCTTACACATAGCCTTGCACAAGCCTTGGCTTGGCCGGAACGGCTCATAGGAGCAGGAGCTTACTGTATCTCCTGTTTCTGTATTGATGTACAAGTACACCCCGTGGACTAGTCTGTCTCCTAAGGGCTTGTAAGTAAGCATTTCACTGTAAGGTCTACACCTGTTGTATTCGGCACATGTGACAAATACTATTTTATTTTATTTTATTTTATTGTATTTGTTTCTGTAGTGTTAGGCAGCTTGATGTACAAGTACACCCCCTGGACAGGACACTAGTCTGACTCCTGTTTCTGTAGTGTGAGGCAGCCTGATCTACAAGTACACCCCCCTGGACAGGACACTAGTCTGACTCCTGTTTCTGTATTGTGAGGCAGCCTGATCTACAAGTACACCCCCCTGGACAGGACACTAGTCTGACTCCTGTTTCTGTAGTGTGAGGCAGCCTGATCTACAAGTACACCCCCCTGGACAGGACACTAGTCTGACTCCTGTTTCTGTAGTGTGAGGCAGCCTGATCTACAAGGACACCCCCCTGGACAGGACACTAGTCTGACTCCTGTTTCTGTAGTGTGAGGCAGCCTGATCTACAAGTACACCCCCCTGGACAGGACACTAGTCTGACTCCTGTTTCTGTATTGTGAGGCAGCCTGATCTACAAGTACACCCCCCTGGACAGGACACTAGTCTGACTCCTGTTTCTGTAGTGTGAGGCAGCCTGATCTACAAGTACACCCCCCTGGACAGGACACTAGTCTGACTCCTGTTTCTGTAGTGTGAGGCAGCCTGATCTACAAGTACACCCCCCTGGACAGGACACTAGTCTGACTCCTGTTTCTGTATTGTGAGGCAGCCTGATCTACAAGGACACCCCCCTGGACAGGACACTAGTCTGACTCCTGTTTCTGTATTGTGAGGCAGCCTGATCTACAAGGACACCCCCCTGGACAGGACACTAGTCTGACTCCTGTTTCTGTAGTGTGAGGCAGCCTGATCTACAAGTACACCCCCCTGGACAGGACACTCTGCAGCTACAGTACAGGGCATTTCCATCTAAAAGGACCAATGAGCACCAGCATGTAAAGTTTATTCGAGCATGTCAAAATGGGTGTCAAATGAAAGCTAAGAGTCCATTTTTTTGGCGGGAGAATTTAAGGCATAAAGACATTTTTCCAACCATTTTCCATCCTATAAATTAGGAATAAGCAAAAGCTTTGATTTCTGGTCAAACAGATGGAAAATGGGTCTTAGACAACAATCTGCCAGAAAAAGTGATGTATTAGAAATACATTGAAACACAAATCATATTGAAGTAAAGACCCCTGCCAACTAATATCAACGCTTATATCTTGTTTTGGAGAAATGATTTGCCTTCTGTACGTTTAAGAAACATTGCCTTGTGCTTTGTAAATTACCAAAACCCCACATATCGTTTAGATATTTTCTAATTTCTCTCCCTCATGAGGGAGGATAATGAAGGTTCACAGAAGTAACAAGTAAAGGTAGACCTACCGATTAGTTATAGTTATTTTACTGATATCAAGTTTGTTTATGAATTATTAAGTGGTTAAAACTCGTAATTCTGTTATCAAATCTGTAACGAAATTACGTAAAGGAATTACTGCAATTGAATTGGCTACAATGGGAAATCATAGTAGTCACAAACCACAGTTGGGTCACCTGCTACTGTCCTCCCTTCCACTGGCATACTGTTATGTTCAGCTCATAACTGTTTTATTTCTCTTTGTGTCTGGTGGTCAAACCAAGAGTACTAAAACAGTCTGAACAACCCTTCTCTCTCTCTCTCTCTCTCTCTCTCTCTCTCTCTCTCTCTCTCTCTCTCTCTCTCTCTCTCTCTCTCTCTCTCTCTCCTCTCTCTCTCTCTCTCTCTCTCTCCTCTCTCTCTCTCGTCTCTCTCTCTCCAGTTAATGTCACCTCTCCTGGTTCTTACTGACATCTACCATGACACCTACCACCTACCCTATTTTCCATTTACAGTAACAAGCATCCTCACCCACTGAGCACCGACCAACACCGGACGCACATGGACGTTGAATAATAGTTGAAATTTGGTCAGTCCGCCCTGGCTGGACCAAATCTGAACCAATCATAGACGTCTATGTTTCACAAGTTTGGACCAGCACAGTACAGCACAGTACAGTAGAGCACAGTAGAGTACAGTATTGTGTACTGTATTGTACTGAACTATACTGTGCTCTACTGTGGTGTACTGTGATGTCCAAACATAGATGTCTATGATTGGTTTCATATTTGGTCTGGTCAGGACCAACCAAATGTGGTCTTGTTCGGGGGTGGAGATCATTCGAAAAATAGCCAGTGTGTAGAATAATATGCAAATATGCTAAATAAGCATAATTGCATATTTCTACCTTTGTATACCTATTCAGGATACATCACCATGAAGAGAATTATATTTATATCCAGAATTACGTATTTCTCTATAGTACAGATCAGGGGACCCATGATGTAATTAAATTACCATTACTGTAATTCCGTCACCTACTGTAGTTCAATAAGCAAAATAAAATAAAAAATATCAAACTCAAGGTGTCATGTCATACAGCTAAAAGAAATGTCCACGGCTCTGGTATGCTCCCATGGTGATTTAATCAGACGCACAATAAAGACAATGTTTTCGATCCGAGTTGGATCTTC